CAAAGAATGGGCTTGAAAAACTCATTTGGTTTATTATAAAGTGAAGTTTCCCAAGTTATGTCTATTTGGAAAAAAAGTTCACAAAATGGTTTTATGGAGATGAGAAATTTTAGGGAAAGAGCAGTGAGATTAAATCCTGTCTCATCCTCTCCCTATTGGACCAAGTGGGTCATAAATTACATAAAATGAATCCTCTGCTTCTCTGTTATCAAAGAACAGCAATGGTTGTTACCTCAGAAGTAGATTAGCAGTGTTATTGGGGGTTTTGTGGGGGTGGGGTGTTGATTGGGGCTTAATACCACACGGCTCTTAACGCCCTCCTTTACCCTATAAAAAACTTTTTTAAAAACCACGTTTTTCATGTGTAGCAACGGACTAAAAAGGAGAAAATAAAATACTTAAAAAAAACTTTTTAAAAAACCACGTTTTTCTTGTGGACTAAAAAGTAGAAAATAACTATTTACATACATTTGATGACAAAAAACGTGGGTCGGGCAGATGGGTCGGGAAATTTGATGGTGAACGTACCCACGTTTTTTGTCATCAAATGTATGTAAATAGTTATTTTCTACTTTTTAGTCCACAAGAAAAACGTGGTTTTTACAAGCTTTTATTTAACTCACTTCCTCTGTCTGTCGTAAGTCGTCAGTCGTCAGTCTAGACGGAAACGCAGGAGTGAAAATTCGGACAGTTCTACTTGACCGATACGATTCACAGTTGGCACGTGGGTCAAGACATGAAGACAATGCAATCTGAATCTAAATTTGACTTAATTGGATGCCTAATTAATTTTTTATGAATTAATTAAAATTTGGACCGAATTAGTAGGCATGTCTAGCCAACCACACCACACGCGTCATCACCTTCAATAGCTGCGCCATCACGTAATGGCTGCGTTCAAAAACCATTGCGCGCCTACTGAACGTGATGTTCAGTAGGCGCGCAATGGTTTTTAGTCATGTAACTCTATTGTAAATAAAACATGTAAAATACTGAAAAAAAAATTCATAAAAAACGTTTTAATAACAAGCTTTTATGTAATGATGCACTAAAAAGTAGAAAATAAATTATAGACTACTATTTAAATAACTATAAAGAAAAGCGTGGGTGTCTTCCTTAACATTAGTAAAGGTATCCAATAGATACTAAAGTGACCCACGCTTTTCTTTATAGTTATTTAAATAGTAGTCTATAATTTATTTAAAAAGTTTTTTTTAAGTATTTTATTATTAACTCAGCTTCGCGTGTGTTTGTTGTTAAAATTGACATCGAAAATTAGCCCACTTCTGATTGCTCTATAGATCTGAAATTTGGCATGCAGGCTACTTTCGCCTAACAATTTCAGATGCAATCATAAAAACTAGCAATTAGAGACCTAATTAGCTTAATTTAATTACGCCCTAAGGACCATAAAATTGAGGACATGATTTCTAAAGATACCGACAAGACTGGAGGCCTATTGACACAGTTACTTCGGCCCCAATCGATGTGAGCGCGCTGGCCGTGATCGTATAGCGGTTAGTACTTCGCGTTGTGGCCGCGACAACCCAGGTTCGAATCCTGGTCGCTCAAGATTTTTAGTCCGTGTATTTATAAACACTTAGTCAAGTCATACTTAATCAAGTCATTAGATAAAGTAGAAAATAAACTATATAAAAAACTTTTTTAAAAACCACGTTTTTCATGTGTAGCAACGGACTAAAAAGGAGAAAATAAAATACTTAAAAAAAAAACTTTTTAAAAAACCACGTTTTTCTTGTGGACTAAAAAGCAGAAAATAACTATTTACATACATTTGATGACAAAAAACGTGGGTCGGGCAGATGGGTCGGGAAATTTGATGGTGAACGTACCCACGTTTTTTGTCATCAAATGTATGAAAGTTTTTTTTAAGTATTTTATATCACACTTCTCATTCCTAGATTCGTCAAGATATATGTTAATGTCAACCCCAACCAACCATGTCCAACCAGGTCCACACGGCAACCCATGTTACAACCCGATCTCAAATGCGCTTGCAGGAACGAGGCTGTAGAAAATTGAATTGTACGAGGCTGATAAACAAGGGAAGCTTTCCTGGCAATGTTTTAGAACCCAACCAATCAACATTTAAAATTATGGTCACGTGAAAGCTAAAAATAGAATTTTTATGAACGGACAGATAGAATATCCTGTTTCTGATAACATTGAAGAACAATAAATGTAAAATAATAAATTTGATATCAAATATACCTAAATCTATGACTCAAGGCTCAGTTATCCCAACTTTATCCCAACTTATGGGATAAAGTCTAGGTTTTGTTTGAAATGGTAGGTTGATTTTGTAGGAATCATTCTACTGTTTGTAGGTTAGGACGAAGTTTCTCAATGTGTTTTAACTTATAAATGTTTATGTGGGTGCTAAATTATGGATGATTTTTGTATTTATGTGTATTTGTATGTATTTTTATTTGTATGTATGTATGTATGCTACATGTCTCAATTTACCTGTGTCTAGTCTCACCTTTACCTGTGTCTAGTCTCACATTTTCCTCGGTGTCTAGTCTCACCTTTATATGTGTCTAGTCTCACCTTTACATATCTGTAGGCTCACCTTGTACCTGTGTCTAGTCTCACCTTGTACCTGTGTCTAGTCTCACCTTGTACCTGTGTCTAGTCCCAACTTCCCTTCAACCTGTGTCTAGTCTCACCTTGTACCTGTGTCTAGTCTCACATTTACCTGTGTCTAGTCTCACCTTGTACCTGTGTCTAGTCTCACCTTGTACATGTGTGTGGTCTCACCTTTACCTGTGTCTAGTCTCACCTGTGTCTAGTCTCACCTTGTACCTGTGTCTAGTCTCACCTTTACCTGTGTCTAGTCTCACCTTGTACATGTGTGTGGCCTCACCTTTACCTGTGTCTAGTCTCACCTGTGTCTAGTCTCACCTTGTACCTGTGTCTAGTCTCACCTTTACCTGTGTCTAGTCTCACCTGTGTCTAGTCTCACCTTGTACATGTGTGTGGTCTCACCTTTACCTGTGTCTAGTCTCACCTGTGTCTAGTCTCACCTTGTACATGTGTGTGGTCTCACCTTTACCTGTGTCTAGTCTCACCTGTGTCTAGTCTCACCTTGTACATGTGTGTGGTCTCACCTTTACCTGTGTCTAGTCTCACCTGTGTCTAGTCTCACCTTGTACCTGTGTCTAGTCTCACCTTTACCTGTGTCTAGTCTCACCTGTGTCTAGTCTCACCTTGTACATGTGTGTGGTCTCACCTTTACCTGTGTCTAGTCTCACCTGTGTCTAGTCTCACCTTGTACATGTGTGTGGTCTCACCTTTACCTGTGTCTAGTCTCACCTGTGTCTAGTCTCACCTTGTACATGTGTGTGGTCTCACCTTTACCTGTGTCTAGTCTCACCTGTGTCTAGTCTCACCTTGTACATGTGTGTGGTCTCACCTTTACCTGTGTCTAGTCTCACCTGTGTCTAGTCTCACCTTGTACATGTGTGTGGCCTCACCTTTACCTGTGTCTAGTCTCACCTTTACCTATGTCTAGTCTCACCTGGTACCTGTGTGTAGTCTCACCTTTACCTGTGTCTAGTCTCACCTTGTACCTGTGTCTAGTCTCACCTTGTACATGTGTGTGGTCTCACCTTTACCTGTGTCTAGTCTCACCTGGTACCTGTGTCTAGTCTCACCTTTACCTATGTCTAGTCTCACCTTTACCTGTGTCTAGTCTCACCTTGTACCTGTGTGTAGTCTTACCTTTACCTATGTCTAGTCTCACCTTTACTTGTGTCTAGTCTCACCTTTACCTGTGTCTAGTCTCACTTTTACCTGTGTCTAGTCTCACCTTTACCTGTGTCTAGTCTCACCTGTGTCTAGTCTCACCTTGTACCTGTGTCTAGTCTCACCTTTACCTGTGTCTAGTCTCACCTTGTACCTGTGTGTAGTCTTACCTTTACCTATGTCTAGTCTCACCTTTACCTGTGTCTAGTCTCACCTTGTACCCGTGTGTAGTCTTACCTTTACCTATGTCTAGTCTCACCTTTACCTGTGTCTAGTCTCACCTTGTACCTGTGTGTAGTCTTACCTTTACCTATGTCTAGTCTCACCTTTACTTGTGTCTAGTCTCACCTTTACCTGTGTCTAGTCTCACCTTTACCTATGTCTAGTCTCACCTTTACCTGTGTCTAGTCTCACATTTTCCTCGGTGTCTAGTCTCACCCTTACCTGTGTCTAGTCTCACCTTTACCTATGTCTAGTCTCACCTTGTACCTGTGTCTAGTCTCATCTTTACCTGTGTCTAGTCTCATCTTTACCTGTGTCTAGTCTCACCTTTACCTGTGTCTAGTCTCACCTTTACCTGTGTCTCACCTTGTACCTGTGTCTAGTCTCACCTTTACCTATGTCTAGTCTCACCTTGTACCTATGTCTAGTCTCACCTTTACCTATGTCTAGTCTCACCTTGTACCTATGTCTAGTCTCACCTTGTACCTATGTCTAGTGTCAGCTTTTTATGTGTCTAGTCTCACCTTTACCTATGTCTAGTCTCACCTTTACCTATGTCTAAACTCATCTTTACCTGTGTCTAGTCTCACCTTGTACCTGTGTCTAGTCTCACCTTCACCAGTGTCTAGTCTCACCTTTACCTGTGTCTAGTCTCACCTTGTACCTGTATCTAGTCTCACCTTTATCTATTTCTAGTCTCACCTTTACCTGTGTCTAGTCTCACCTTGTACCTATCTCTAGTCTCAGCTTTTTATGTGTCTAGTCTCACCTTTACCTATGTCTAGTCTCACCTTTACCTGTGTCTAGTCTCACCTTTACCTGTGTAGTCTCACCTTGTACCTGTGTCTAGTCTCACCTGTGTGTAGTCTAACCTTTACCTATGTCTAGTCTCACCTATGTCTAGCCTCACCTTTACCTGTGTCTAGTCTCACCTTGTACCTGTGTCTAGTCTCACCTGTGTCTAGTCTCACCTTTACCTGTGTGAAGTCTCACCTTCCCTCTGCCAACAGGTGCTCTTCGCCTTGAACCAAACCCTGTCTCAACACGAAAGCCTGCGTGACCGGGCCGGCCACCCCCCTTACAGCAGTAACGCCCTAGTCCAACACTACAACTGCGGCGACCTCAACTCGCTCATGTTCAACAGGTGAGTCCACCCGGCCCTGTAAGTGCTCACGCGCGCACACACGCACGAGAACCGCACGTGCGTCAGGGTCCCATTAAGATAAGTGTGTCGGGGTAGAGCCGGGGCACGTGGCGTGAGACTCGCGCCCTAATGTTGAGCAGACGCCGCTCAGATCTGGCACCACAGGTCGAGGCCTGGTCCGTGTTTAAGATCACAGAGTCCCAGGACACCCCCCATGTGACGCCAGCCTTGTGGCGATATTTAGACCTTTGCCGCAGACCCCGGGGGGGGGGGGGGGAAGTTGCATAGACCAACAGACCAACAACACGCCAGCAACTGATAGGCCACATGAATCCTGTAAACATCATCATATGAGGGGAGGTAAACACAGACACACTGTGGTTGTCATTTCGTTCTGGGGAAATAACTCTGCCAGTTTTTTAGGTTTGCTATGTTGACTACAACATAGATTCTTTTCTCTTCATCTTGTATATTGTCTTACTTATTGCAATATTTAATTAACATTATAAAGCCTCATTAACATAATTTAATCTTTATTAAATAAATATATTTTTATTCTAATTAAAATGCTCTTTCAATAACAATATTTTTTCTACATGTAGATTTTGATATTCATTTACTAAATCTCTTGATCATTACTCTATTATAAAAGTTGAATATCTGGACACATGCATTAAAATGTTTACCACAATATGTTTCTATAAAAAGAAAAAAAAATTAAAAAAACAGACTTCTAAAAAATTAGAAAATTTTGGCTACCTTTGAATAGATTATACTTTTAGGTGTTATTTCAAAAATTGGTCCAGTTTCTCGAAGGCTACTATTTTATTGTGTTCGCAATGCACTGAGTGCTCAACTCTATATACTAGAAATGGACTATGCAACTATTACTATTACCAAACTCAACAATGGGGTAGCGCCCATTCCTGGTCCCTCAACTATGGCAGAGTGGCACCTGGTACTTCTCCTCACAAGCCTTTGACGTCACCACAATGCACAACACAAGCAAAACACACGGTTCATATACACTGCATTTCTCACTTCATGAAAACAACAAAATCAACGGTACCTTTCAATGGGTACCCCCTACACTCAACAACGCTACGCTCATGCCAGCTCTACCCCTATTCAGCAACAAGAAGCCATCTATAAACACAATCCCACACACTAATGATCGCAGCTTTTCTGTCTACACCGATAACCCAACAAATATCCCACACTACATCAAAATAATCTACCAAAACAAATCACTTACTATCCTAATCTCTATCGCCGGGAGAAGACAAGCGTGTCAAATCTGTTCCTCCGCCCTACACTGGACGAACCATTGCCAACAAACGCCTTCAGACATATCACTGCAGGAAGACCCAACAGCAAAATCAACAACACAGTCAAAACAGCACTTATTAATTAACGACAGCAAGACTCGACACAAAAGAACATCAACACTCGACTACAAGATGCAACACCAAAAACGCTGAAACCGATTGTCAGCAATTCGACACAACTAAAGAACTCTAGCTACACGATAAACAGTACTGCAAATAGCAATAAACCACTGTCAGAAACAGCAATGGACACCATCACATCAACAAAAAGGAAAAACGAACACAACCCTACATCAGAACAGTGGAAAATAACAAAGGCGCCAAAAATATCTAATTCCGTGCCCGAGACAAACCCCGAAACAGAGGCACCACAAAAAAGGAAAGAAGATGACCCAAGCATAACCCACAACCAAGAGACAAAGACAAAAACAGATGAAATCTCCATTCCAGAATCTCTACAACAATCAAGTAGTTACAAAAGTCCGGTGGACACAATACCTCTAGCAAGGACTGACACAACTAAATCACAGAAGGAAAAAATCGACAAAACCATACAAACCCTAAGCAATGATTAACGAAAAGGTAGTCACACCACCAGGGAGATACAACAAGCAAATTTCTCTGCCGAAACAAAACAAAAAAGTTAGTCCTAAATCCCACTTAAAAGAACCAGTTCATAACACAAAGTGCATATACTACGCTAAACAGTACCACTGTAACCGCGGAAACTGAATTCTATGAAGACACAGTTCACAAAAACCTTAAACAGTGCATTGACAAGGTAATTCACTCGAAATTAGAAAGGTACCATGCACAAAAGCATTCAAACGTAATTGCCATCCAATGTGCTTTCTGCGATTGAACACACCCCCAAGAAAAAGGAATCAAGCTGCACCTAAAGCACTATCATCGTCAGAACCCTACAAGTTACAATGAAATATACTACAGAATCGTTGTAGCACCCTACAAAGACCGCATAATATATACCACGCAGACGCTCTAAAAGATGACAGCTAAGGCTTCACCATCACCAAGACAAATCTCTTTCTTTTTAGACGTTGTGTATTAGCCTTCCACCAGAAAATTATGTCAACCATTGTTACCCCTAGGTATTCATAAACTCCCAACCCAATTTTAACAGATTGTTAAATGTTAATATTTTAGTAAGTTATATAAGATATAGGAATATGATGTAAATAAAAAATTTAGTATTAAAAAAAAGTTGAGCTAATGGAACAGACTTAACGATAAAAAAAAAAGTCTAAAGTGAGTCCTCATCTCATTAAAAAAATGTTAATAAAATAAAATAAAATAGCACAAAAGAAAATTGTCTCTAATTGTTACATTGAAAGTCTTACACCCACGTCTCTCTCATTCTAAACGTCACATCCTGGTCTCTCCCCCAAGGGACACAACCCAGGTCCCTGCTCTAGTCAACTCGTCACTCCCGCCCTCCGAGCTGGAAAAGGCCCGCCTGATCGAGCAATACTTCCAGCACGAGCTCATCGACAAGAGAAACGCCAGGATGGCCGAGAGAGTTGCCTACCTCCTCCACCAACACCCTCACACAAGCTTCTTCTTCGCTTTTGGCGCAGGTTTGTAGGCTACTCGAAACTTCGCTTTTGGCGCAGGTTTGTATGCTTCTCGAAACTTCGCTTTTGGCGCAGGTTTGTATGCTTCTCGAAACTTCGAGTTTGGCGCAGGTTTGTAGGCTTCTAGAAACTTCGCGTTTGTATAATCGAAAGTTGGTGAAGACATATTTCAGAAATAATCTTTTTTTTTAAATTCGCGAAAACATTTTGTCGAAAGTTTCTTTTTTGTTCAGTTTAAGTGACGAATGGTGTGTTTGGTCGGGTGATTATGCACGTGAACACAACCGGTAAGACTTTAGTTCGAATCCCAATGTCATGCCGGCGATTGACTTGTCCTTAAATTACCATTGATACCACTCAGCTTTATTGAATAGCAGTTTCTAATAGTGAATAAGCTGTAGTCATTACACGAACTAATGGTATCTTATGGTCAGTATTCAATGGCGGGTTGGTTCAGGTATCTAATGCAGGTACCTGTGTTTCATGTATCTGCTGCAGATACCTGTAGTGCACTATCTAATACAGGTACCTGTAACTTGGATATCTAGTGGTAGGTATCTATTGCAGATACATGTAGTGCACGTATCTAATGCAGGTACCTGTAACTCGGATATCTAGTGGTAGGTATCTATAGCAGATACCTGTAGTGTACGTATCTAATACAGGTACCTGTAACTTGGATATCTAGTGGTAGGTATCTATTGCAGATACCTGTAGTGCACGTATCTAATGCAGGTACCTGTAACTCGGATATCTAGTGGTAGATATCTATTGCAGATACCTGTAGCGCAGGTATCGAATAACAGATACCTGTAACTTGGATATCTAGTGATAGGTATCTATTGCAGATACCTGTAGTGTACGTATCTAATGCAGGTACCTGTAACTCGGATATCTAGTGGTAGGTATCTATTGCAGATACCTGTAGTGCACGTATCTAACACAGGTACATGTAACTTGTATATCTAGTGGTAGGTATCTATTGCAGATACCTGTAGAGCACACATCTAATGCAGGTACCTGTATCTGGGATATCTGGTGGTAGGTATCTATTGCAGATACCTGTAGTGCAGGTATCGAATAGCAGATACCTGTAGCGCAGGTATCGAATAGCAGATACCTGTATCTGGGATATCTAGTGGTAGGTATCTGCTGCAGATACCTGTAGCGCAGGTATCGAATAGCAGATACCTGTATGCGTTTAATGATCTTTGTTTATCTCATGATTTCACCTGTATCGTATCGCTCACGCTGGAGCTATTTTTAGCCGCGCCACGCACACAGCCGATGAATATTTTATTGAGCTCCCTAAGCTCGTAAACCTATCAACAAGGTGGTAAAGATTTCATCGGCTTCTGCCCCCCCCCCCCCCAACGGACCCCTTCCGTTCCTAGTCCCAGCCAATCCCCCACCCACCTCTACAGATTCCTGGCCTCTCCCTCCCCCACCCACCCCACAGGTTCCTGGCCTCTCCCTCCCCCACCCCATCCTCTAAAAAAAAGAACCTCTTAGAGAACTCCTCTCTCTCGGGCGTTTATGATCCCTTTCGGCCAAACGCCATGAACTTTAGGTCAAAGGTCACCAGGCTTGTAGACGATACAAGAATTCGAAATCTGATTGGCTACGTAGATTGCATATCTCCCTCACCAGCCGAAATGACTAACTGGGAACGTGCTGTGACGTCAGACGTTTGGATTTTGTTTTGCCGAAAACTAAATGTTTGAATTGTCTCGTGGCTGAACTAGATCGTTAGATTAATGTCAGGTTGTGTTTTTTAACAACCTGCAGAAATGGCCGCTGTCGGCTGCTGTTTTAACAAATCGAGTTGTGTGGAGTTGGCTGAGGGCAGTTAAAGCGGTGCCTGAAAGGTTTTGAACTCCAGCCAAACAGTATGTCGGTTAGAACGACATTGAGTAACTTTAACATAAAGTCCTTAACAAAACATTTGTTGGTACAAGATGAACAATCAATTCAGACTCATGAAACGCCTAGGCAGGTGAAGCAGAGTTTATATAACTGGTGGTTTGAGCTTATCTAAAATTATCTGAGATTATCCTTCGACTAAACCTCCGGGTTTCAACGGGTCGCCCTACCCGTCGACCACACCGTACCCTCTTATGAAAAGAATGAGTCACAAGTCGTATACATACCAAAACTATGGCTTGGTACTTCATGAGCCACAACCCAATCAAAATGGCATATCTAATAGGATGAACCTTGTTACGCCGCCGTGACAGGAAGTACAGATGACATCACGATAATCTTTAGGCCATAGTTAGTGACATGACATGACACAGGGGGGGGGGGGGTGACAAACTGACGTCAATGATTGCTCGAAAGAGCGCCAAAACTGTACATGAATTCTGTCAAACCACCAATGGTAAAGTTAGTGTGTACCATATGTGTCAAACCACCAATGGTACAGTTAGATCAGTGCCAGATGTGTCAAAGCAGTTAGGTCTACATGAAACTGGTGCATTGTTTAGTAAGAATGTTATTAACTGACCTTTTAAAAAAAGTGTTTTAAATGACCTTTTGTAAAAATGTGTTTAAAAAAGACCTTTGTAAAAATGTTCTCCAAATGACCTTGTAAAAAATGTTCTCTAAATGACTTTTTGTACAAATGTGTTTGAAGAGACCTTTTGTAAAAAAATTTCTCCAAATGACCTTTATAAAAATGTTCTCCAAATGACCTTTGTAAAAATGTTCTCCAAATGACCTTTTGTAAAAATGTTCTCCAAATGACCTGTTGTAAAAATATGCCAGAAGAGACCTTCTAAGTTCATCCCGCGCCTTGGGTGTGCTACCCACTTGGTAGAGACATATTTTTTAACGAGTGCGCATGCGTCATTTATTAGTCACGTGTCTGGAGTTGTGTCCACTTAAGTAAAGAGGGTAAAATTGGGGGGGGGGGGGGGGTAAATCGTTGAGGTGGTAGGTGCGGCAGTGTGTGAGTGGGTGTGTGTGTGTCAGGTGGCATGTGTGTGTGTGAGTTTTTGTTTCTTTGTATGTGCCAGTACGTGCGTGTGTTTAACTCTAGCGAGTATGTGCGTGTACGCATGTGTATGTGTAAGGGGCATTTAGACGAGGGCATTTAGACGAGGGCATTTAGACGAGTGCATTTAGACGAGGGCATTTAGACGAGGGCATTCAAGCGACGGCATTTAGACAAAGGTATTTATACCTGGGCATTTAGATGAGGGCATTTAGACGAGGGCATTCAAGCGAGGGCATTTAGACAAAGGTATTTATACCTGGGCATTTAGATGAGGGCATTTAGACGAGGGCATTCAAGCGAGGGCATTTAGACAAAGGTATTTATACCTGGGCATTTAGATGAGGGCATTTAGACGAGGGCATTCAAACGAGGGCATTTAGACAAAGGTATTTTGTACCTGGACATTTATACCTGGGCATTTAGACGAGGGCATTGAGATCAGGACTTAAAGACTAGTTCGTTAAACCAGTGCATTAAAACAAGGGCCATGAACCTAGAGTAACAAGACCAACGTTTTAAACATAAGCCATGAAAACAGGGGCATTAAGTCTGTAAACACCTGCGAGTAATCTCCCTCAAACATCCCTGTGTTATGCCTACATGTTGTAAACTTCATTATTTCCGGCTCGTATTTTCCATCTCAAGCCTAGTTCCGGGACCAAGATTTTTATCATTAAAAAATGCGCTAGATTAGCTCCCCTTTTAAAGTGCATAACGGTTGTTTATGCCCCTTGGAAGGGTGGTTGGCACCTGCGTGGGGAAAAACAAGTCATAGCTCTGTTAGAGTTGTTGGCCCTGTTTTTACATGCGCGTTACGTCATAGCTCGCTTTATAGTGTCACTGTGACTTAAACGTGACGTCACGTCTGTACTGTGTCATTGTGACTTGTCATTGTGTTACGTCATGGATGGCTTGAAAGTGTCACGTGATTTTTGTTTACAGGTCATTTTCTGGGGAACGAGACCGTGATTGACAGATTACGTCACGCCGGGTTAAAGGTCGAGCACACGAAACCTGAGGATAACTTGACCAGGTGAGTAGTGGCCGGGTCATGAGTGGCCAGGTCATGAGGTCAAGGGTGGCCGGGTCATGAGGTCATGAGTGGGCGGGTCATGAGGTCATGGGGGGCGGGGTCATAAGGTCATGGGTGGTCGAGTCATGAGGTCAAGGATGGCCGGGTCATGAGGTCAAGGGTGGCCGGGTCATGAGGTCATGATGTCAAGGGTGGCCGGGTCAGGAGGTCAAGGATGGCCGGGTCATGAGGTCAAGGGTGGCCGGGTCATGAGGTCATGATGTCAAGGGTGGCCGGGTCAGGAGGTCAAGGGTGGCCGGGTCAGGAGGTCAAGGGTGGCTGGGTCATGAGGTCAGGGACTTGAAGTCGTGATCGTTAAGCCACTGGTGACAGCATGGTTAGCTTTATTATGGCAAGGAACTGACCACACCTTTCTAAATGAACTCACCCCCCCCCCCCCCCCCCCACCCAACACAGGTCTGACGGCTCCAGGACCAGAGCGCCCAGAAAATCCCGGAAGTTTGTTCTGTCAGACGACTTCCCCCAGCCCTCTGACGTCATTTATGGCGATATCCAGTACCTGTTTGCTAAAAGGTGAGACACGATGCATTGTTAATAAAAGGTGAGACGTGTTGCACTGTTGCTAAAAGGTGAGACTATTGCACTGTTGCTAAAAGGTGAGACTCAGGTATGTAGCTAAAGGGTAAGCGGTGACAAACGTTGGTAGATTCAAATAGCGATAAAAAGGTGAGATGTATATCAGGGTCGCCAGGTGTTGGGTGTGTACACGTGTACTGACTTTATCAACCCATAGGTGGACTGACCACATCAATGTTTCGATACTTGACAACATCAATGTTTTGATACTTGACAACATCAACGTTTTGATACTTGACAACATCAACGTTTTGATACTTGACAACATCAACGTTTTGATACTTGACAACATCATACATCAACGGTCCTATCTCTGACAGTCTGTAAATGTTGACCATTTCAAACTTGAGTCTAGCCAATCTCATTTCATCAGACTGACAAAAATCTATACCTAATCTCACTAGATGTTTTCCCCACCGGTCGGGATATAATCTCCAGTCCTACGGTCAACTCCCCCCATCCCACACACCATCCCACACACCATCCATTCAAAATCTGACAAGGACGGAATTGCTCGTATGCTCGCCTAAGATGGCTGAACTGACCAGCGGTCAGTAGTCAACGAATGCATCAAAAGATCTATAATTGCTATTGACCACTGGCTTACTCACCAGCTGCCCACTTAGGAAATAGGATGGAACATGGGGTGGGGGGATTCAGGCGCTCTACAGGGGTTCTCCTACTGTGGAGACATGGACCATCCATCTTGCGACTACTCTTTAAAATTAAACGAAATGACAATGTAATCATCTGATTGGTTGATATAAATAGGTTGTGATTGATAAGAGACCACTTTGAAGTCTATGTCTTTAATCACAATTTCCCGATTACTTATGGGAGGTGTGGGCATGGGTTGGATAAAGAGGGTTGGGGAGGGTATGTACGTTAGTGATAAGTGTATGATTACTCAAAACTTAAGTGAAAGATACAGTTAATATTTCAAAGATAATTAATAATAAACCGATACGCTGAACGCATCTTTGTACTTTATCAAGAAAAACAAGGTCGGGGGTCTGGTTGTTATGAAAGCATTATAAGATGTTGTCTGGTTGCTATGGGAACGCTATGATTTTGTTTTTAGTCTATCTAATTTTAGCTTTACTGTTCCCCCCAGGATGAGACACAGTAAAAGATTTAAGAAAGAGAAACAGAAGATGTTGAGGGCGAAGAAAAGACAGGAGCAGTTGGATTCATTGTGGGAGAGCCTTGATCCAAGCAGGTTGGTTGGCTGACCCCAGGAGGAGTGTATGGCTGACCCCAGGAGGGGTGTATGTCTGACCCCAGTAGGGGTGTATGGCCGGATACAAGAGGGGTGTATATTTGACCACAAGGGGTGTATGGCTGACCCCAGGAGGGGTGTATGGCTGACCACAGGAGGGGTGTATGGCTCTGAGCACAAGAGTCGTGTATGTCTGAACCATGGTTAATATGTTGATATATGTCTGTATTGCTACTGTATCTGTATTGCTACTGTATATGTGTGTATTGCTACTGTATCTATATTGCTAATGTATCTATAATGTTACTGTATCTGTATTGCTACTGTATCTGTCTGTATTGCTAATGTATCTGTCTGTATTGCTAATGTATCTCTATTGCTACTGTATCTGTATTGCTACTGTATCTGTATTGCTAATGTATCTCTATTGCTACTGTATCTGTATTGCTACTGTATCTGTATTGCTACTGTATCTCTATTGCTACTGTATCTGTGTTGCTACTGTATCTGTATCGCTACTGTATCTCTATGCGCCATATAACGCTCTTGCCTTGTATTCCAGCTTCAACCAAGACAAAAGTGATAAAAATGGGAAGAAGAAAAAAAATGCCAAAGAAAACACGTTCAACGACCTGTGGGTGAGAATGGACCAGATCAGGTAAGTGGATACAAGTGGATACAGGCTGTGGATGGCCTTCTGGATTGTGGTCCCACATGTGGTCTGTGGTTTGTAAGACTTGTTTAGCTACATATGCGACTTGCTGTTAGGAGCTAGCTTTGATGTAGGCCTACTACAAACATGTCCTAAAAATAATAGTAATACAACTATCCTGCTTAAACAAATTATAGTATTTGGTCGTAATATTTCAAAATTCTATTCATTGTTTTTGCTAAGCGAACAAAGAATTCGGTGGGTTTAATATCCAACTACTTTTTAAACACGGGCCCAATGTGGAGTGAACTAGGTTCGTCTAGCAACCGCAGGCTTCATAACCTGACCAGAACTCACCAGGACACCACACTGTGTGGTTTTAACGAGCTCTCACAACGATAAGAATCAGATGTCTATCGAGATTCGCCCCGCTCCTAACAAAACTTCATTACAAAGGTGGCGCGACGGCCTGTAAATCACTACGCGACAAAAAAAAAGTTCCGATGTTTCTAGAATATAGAGGTTTCTGTATCACGTGGCCGACACTGTAGGGGTTACATTACGTAGGGACTTGATAAAAAGAAAATTAGCTGTCCAATCATCACACTAGGGATGGCCAGATAAAACTTCAAAGGTAGATGCCATTTTCAGACTGTCTGGAGATACGCCAGTAATAACACCACTGGCTTCAGAAGAAATTCAGCTGTTTTATATAAAACAGTGAATCAGATATTTTTATAATATAACATATATATATATATATATATATATATATATATATATATATATATATGTATATATATATATATATATATATATATATATATATATATATATATATATATATATATACATATATATATATATATATATATATATATATATATATACATATATATATATATATATATATATATATATATATATATATATATATACATATATATATATATATATATATATATATATATATATATATATATATATATATATAGCTAAATGTTTTTAAATATTTAGAGATTCAAAATCTGGTGATCGAATACTACAGTAAAGTTGAACCATTGATTTTAGCGTTGACGTTTCTAACTTTTAAGTGTGGAAAGTGTTGGAAGGCACTTTATCGTGTAGCCGGCATTTTACGGTTTCATAATGTAGCCGGCATTTTACGGTTTCATCTTGTTACCTGATCGTATACTGCTGGTTTTTTTTCTCTGGTTTTCCCAGAAGACATTCTATATACACATTCTACTGTGATGTTGTTTTCATATAAAGTATTCGATCAGTACATTGAACTAAGAAAGTCTGCTCTTTATTTTCAAGTAAATGTGGACTTGTTTTATGCTTAAACATTCCCTTAAGGGCAAAAGATCTTTCTAAGTTCACACTACTCCGTGCAAAGACACGAATAGTATTTCTCATTTTCTGTCACCCGTTTCTAAACTCCCGATTAAAGATCCACTTTAGTCCTTGCAGCAGGAACCACAACTCCGCATGAACGTACGATCGCACTTGCCCTCGGCTGATTCTCTGCCCCTTGTCGACAACCTTATGTTCCACTTTTCAAGATGACATTTTACTGCACTTGACCTTGACCTCACTGCTCACTCAACAAAAGGCAAGCCCCGATCGTCGGGACTCTGAACTGGGGGTGCACTAGACCTCCACGTCCCCCTAGCGCCAAGACTGTTGTGTTGTTCCATCAATGCTGGTGGAGTTACGGGAGTGCTCTTGTCGCGGGAAGAATGTATTATTTCACAGTTTAGATCTGACGACCTCTTCTCAATTATTCACCGCGAAAGGGTAGACCTTCCATTCAGGCGCCGCGTGAATGGGTGGGAGCGGAAAATAAATCTAAATAAAGCGTTTTGCTTTATAGCGCTGGTCTCGTCTGCTCCATCCAACACTTAAGTGTGCCAGATTTTTTAAACACGCCAAGTCTTTTATCCTATCGTTTTGGCTTAAATTAATTGATTAGCCGCACTTTTTGTGGGTTTTTCTCCAGCTCTGAAACTAATAAATAATTAGATCGTGTGTATATGGGTGTGCCTGTGTGTCTGCTATTCCTGCTTTTTGTTTACATATATATTTTGATAAAACAGCTAGATCACACGCGCCAAATTTGGCTGATTTTTTTTCACTTTTAAGCACTTATATTTTAAGATCCTATTTCCATTTACATAGTTCAAAAGAAAGATTCATCGTAAGATATTTTTCTTACTAGAGACAAAATTATTATTTATATTTTTTTTTTTGGTAGAGGAAGGGGTGGGGATGGGGGTTGTTTAGGAAATGTTCATCGTAACATCTGAACCCTAACTTGGTTAATCAGTTTCATTTATCAACAACTCGTTGAATGGGATAAATTCCCCCGAGTTATGCTACCTAGTCGCAAATATCGGCTGGAGTTAGCGTTCTTCTCCGCGTTACTTCCCTTGGGGCGTATGCTCAGCTTCTAAACATACCAGCAGCAGGCCTACGAACGTGGTTAGTTTAAAAACATAGATTGTACGCGACTACGAATGAAATTCTTGATGCGTGTGGTACTGCCATTTCTTGGCTGATGTGCTACGTATCTCCGGAAGGAGGAGGTTTAGGTGCACCGTGTGTTAGTCACATTGATGGGAAAGTTCTAGAACATTCTGGCGATAAATTCTTTTGGAGTGATACTGTTGCTCCCGGCCAAACTTGAAAAGACATAAAATACATTTAAAGTTCAGCCGCTTTTAACTCGTATATCTCTATTATATAATTAGAAACAAATTAATTTATATTGAAAAACGATATTTAATTATTTAAAGATCGTAATTAAAATTTTAAAAATTGTATTTTAAAAATAAAATGTATGTATTTTTAAATATTTTCAGACCTCATTATTTAGAACAAATGGGAGAATCGTCTTTCATTGAAGGGGAGTCAACCGAAGAAACTATTCAAGGATCAATATCAGCAGTATCAAGCTTACGTCCCTTGAATACAAAGACAATCGTTCTACTGTGTTGTGCAATACTGGCATCTATTAAGTCTTCATCTATATAACTAGTTTGACCAAAAAAAGGTTTTTTCTTACATAAAATTGATTTCTTGAAAGATTTTGTTTGATTGGAGCATTTTTTTTTAAAATCAAAACATTTTTTATTAATTTCAAACTATTGAAAAAATTACAATGTAAATTTGATACTTTATTAAAATTCCATTTTGTATTCAATTTGATTTTTAAAATTATATTGGTTTGTTGAATCTGATGTACATTTCTTTAAATGTTTGTAAAAATGTGTTAAAACCTAACTGGCCTTCAAAGTACTGAAGACTTGAGCCAGGTTTTTTTGTCAAATGTTTTCAAATTTTTAAAAAATCAGGTTTTCTCTAGGTGATTGAGGCCATTCCCTTCTTCATTGTACAACTTGACCAAATACAAACCTACATTCTTCAGTCAGTATTGGTGATTCTTAGTGTGTCTTGTTTGTAATTCATTCAGAGCTTAGTCTCACAGCTTACCATCTTCCACATTTTCTGCTTCATCAAACAGAAAAATATTTTCATCTTTTTTTTTTTAAGTTTTTATTATTTTAGACAAACTGCATTTAGAACTGAAATATATTTTCAAGCTATTAGTATTACAAGGCTTTTTTCAGTTATTATTATTAATCTATTATCAACCTTTAAAGTCAATACGCTTGTTGATGTATTGTAATTAAATTATGTATAGGCTATATAATTAAAAGATATTTAAGTCTATTGTTTCTTATAAAAAAAAGAATAGATCTTCCTAATAGTGCCAATTGAAGAATTGTTTTCTAAAACATGTCAAAAGTATTTTTAGGTGCAAGATATTGGACTGTTTATGAATAATCTATAACTTCTAGGTAATTTTAAATTTTCTAAATTCACCTTGCACTTGATATATTTCTAAATTCAACTTTCTTACAATTCAGTTTTTGGAGACTTTAAATAAATGTGACAATTTTTTCTAAAATTCTTCGGGCCAAGTCATTTACAAAGTTTAGGTTAAAATAAATTTTATTTTACATAAAACCAAAAAATATTCTCATTAAAATTATACCTGATGTCAAGGATCACTAATTTTTTGTCACTTAATTAACAAAGTTTGGAAAATAACTTCAATTTATATGTTTGAAGTAAAAAAATGTGAGTTGAGTTCTGTAATTCATGTAAAATCTGGTTTCCTACAGTGTATTTTTTTGTGACGCCAAATTTACCTTGGTCAAATGTTTTATATTTCTTGTTGTAACAATTTTTTTTCCACTTTCCATCAATTGTTACCTCATTAAAACGAGATCAAAATGCATTTATTCATTTTTATACCTGTCATGAATTGTTTCATTTCTTTTTTAATTATGTACAGTACATAATACTGATTGGTTGTTAATATATTGAAATTTTAAAGCTGTCAATATTGCATTGATAACTGGCTTCTTCCAAAAATTATACAATGAATTTTATTTTTCTATATCCAAAAATTATTTTGAAAATATTGTAATGGTTGTCTAAGTTTCACAGCAATAGAAACACTTACTTTCTTATTTCAAATATTTTCTTTATTTAGATTAAATCTAGCTATTAACTATTTTAGCTGAATAAAATTAGATCATGCTGAATCAGGGGAGAGTAGCTTAGAGGAATGAGAACTCATATTTTCAGTCCTTTGCTTTTAATAAATGCTGATTTATTCATTTTCTTGGTTAATATTTTTTACACGCGATAATTAGCCAGATTGCTGTGAGAAGAGAGATCAAGTTCTCCATAACTTATGTAAAATGTTAGTTCTTCCATAACTTTTGTGAGCTGTTGGTCTTACCACAAGTGTATGCAGTAAGGTAGATTACTTGTATCACCTCCCTTTAGAATTACCTCCCTTCAGAATTTAGCCTAATATTTTTAAAATCTACTTGTCTAAAAAGAAAACAGTTAATTGAGCATGTTTTAAATGTTCTCACATTGCAGTCAGTGATTGATGTACAAGTGATTCATTATTGTTAGTGTAATTATCCATTAATTTATTGAACTGTGTTTGAATGGTACCAGTAAACAACTGAACACAACAAATTTTTGGTCTCTTCATTTCAACATTTCTGGCTTGTTTTTGTAGCCTAGTCACATTATTGAACAAGGTGACCATATTGGCAGTTTAGGAACAAAAATATAATACAACACAAACTATTAAGTCAGGTGTTGAAACAAATTTTATAAACTGTGCTAAAAAGATAACTTTTTTTGGCCAAGAATCCACTAAACGGTTTTATTTTATGATATTTATAAATTATAAGCCAAAACAAAAAACACCTTATATAAAAAGTGTACTTTATTACTTAGGAGTAGTTTTAACAATAACAAGTAATGGTAAATAAAACATTGCATCAAGACAATCAAAGATTTGATAAAACATGACAAAAGTGTATTCCATTCAAATAATGGCTAATGACAAAAACAAGACAAATGTGAATTCCATACAAATAATGACCAAAACATTACAAATGTGAATTCCATACAAATAATGACCAAAACATGACAAATATGTCCCATGTCAATAAAGGTCAGGCTATTCATTCACTGACAAAAGTTCATGCCCACAACAGGTTGTGGGTGGAGAAAATATTTCACAGCAGCTCCTGTAGATTTTTTTTAACCTTTGACTTGACCTTAAGGGTGAGCACTAAATGGTCAAAGCTGATGTTGACACCATGCCACCTGTCCAATGAAATATCGTCATGGCAACGGTTTGATGACAGCACACAGACAATCATCAACTTTCTTCAGTGCTCTCTGTCTCTGTTTTTGGTGGGGCTTGAAGTCTGTTGGCCTGTAAACATGAGGATTTGATTGTTATATGGGCTTATAGGTGGGTGACTTTTATTTGATTGTTACTGGTATATGGGCTTATAGGTGGGTGACTTGTAATGTTACTGGTACATGGGCTTATAGGTGGGTGACTTGTAATGTTACTGGTACATGGGCTTATAGGTGGGTGACTTGTAATGTTACTGGTACATGGGCTTATAGGTGGGTGACTTGTAATGTTACTGGTACATGGGCTTATAGGTGGGTGACTTGTAATGTTACTGGTACATGGGCTTATAGGTGGGTGACTTGTAATGTTACTGGTACATGGGCTTATAGGTGAGTGACTGGTATTTGATTGTTACTGGTACATGGGCTTATAGGTGAGTGTGATGACACAAGTTTAGGTTATAGAAGTCTAGTAGAAGATAGCAAAAACAGAGTATAGCGTAGTTAGGTAGACCAATAGAAATACAGGAGATGACTGGTCACGTGGGACGGCAGATGACCACTGAAGCGTGGGTCAGCAGTTAGGTAGCAGGTGGACAGAGGTAGTGCTAGGGGAAAGACGCAGAAGTTGAAATTAAATGTAGTGTTAGAGCTTGTCATGGAAGTGTAGTTGTAGTTAGATAGTGTTAGTAGACAGTTAGATCTTAAGACGTAGTTAGGGTAGGAGTAGGAGATGAGTGTTGAATAAAGAAACATTATAGAATATCTTGAATTGGACTTGTGTTTGATTTCAATTAACTGTACCAATAGGTAAGAAAAAGGTGATCCCTGTAGAGAGTATACATATACAGAATACAAACCTTCAACGCCCTCACAACTGTTGGATCTTCTTCGATCCCCACCCTCACAGGTGAGTGACTTGTATTTGATTGTTACGGAGACATGGGCTTAAATGGGTGACTAGCATTTAATCAACTCACTACACTTAATGTGGTAGGTGTTAGCAATAATGTTCAGGGGTGTTACCTTAAGGCCACAATTGTATGGTTATTTTAACTTATACTACATCCATGGCCACCGTTTGGACTATGTTCAACACATTTCTTTTGGGAGAGTGTGTGGAGGCAGAGACCAGAGGAATGGTAGAGAACTAGAGGGAGGAGAGGTCAGTAAAAAGAGTGTGAAGATTAGGAGGGAGGGAGGTCAGTAGAAATAGTGTGAAGATTAGGAGGGAGGGAGGTCAGTAGAAATAGTGTGAAGATTAGGAGGGAGGAGAGGTCAGTAGAGAGTGGGAGGATCCAGATAAAGAGGACCAGGAGAGAGGAAGAGGACTTACCTTGATAAAACCTCTGTGTCTCATGAGATCGTCCACGCGAGCGTTGTAAAAGTCATAGACAAACTGGGCCATCTGGGGCATGTCTGAGATGATGATTGGCGACTCACTGGGTGGGTCCTGGAGCTGAAGTAAACATTCAGACACATTTTATGACTCAAAATCCCTGGGAACATTTGCCAGATACTCTATCACTAGTAGTGTAATAGACCCCATTTCATCGTTTAAAACTTTTAAAGCATAAACCAGCTTGATATCAGTTATCTCCATGACTGATAACTCGTAAGTCTTGACTTTGGCTCCTGAGCTTCTGTCTATAAGACGTCCTGAGTCCACCAGCTCTGAAGGCAACTGGGCATGGTACTGAGAACACTATACCCCTGTATGTTGACGTTAGTGGAACAGATACACTCTACTCATCTGTCCCACAACAGGGAAAAGATGATACTTCAGCCTAAAACCTTATCCTACCTCCAGGTCTAACTTACCTTAAGGCAATTTAATTGATTAAACTATAGAGGTGGTTAGCCACAAAGATTAGTATAAAAAATAAAAAAATAAACCGTTTTTTAAGAGTTACTCACCTTTCTGGTGCAGGGGTTACTTTCATTGGGCAGCAAATGCAGCATTTGTGGGCGTGAGTTCAGCTGTAGCAAACAGTTTAAAAGGTTGTGAACATTCCATATGTTTACAGGGTTGGTTTCAATAAATGCTAAGTTGGCCATTAGGTAAAAAACTAGAATGTAAAAACATACGATGTTGAAGGCAGGAGTTAAAAAACTAAAATGTAAAAACTTACAATGTTGAAGGCAGGAGTCAGCTCGAAGCAGTTGCTGAACAGGGAGGAGCGAGCAAAGATGTAGAGGCCAAGGCGAGCTCGGGACATGGCCACAATCAGACGCCGGACATCTCTGGGGGGGGGAAACATTTTTTTGACATGTTTATCTCATCATGTGGTTAAACTATCTCATCACAAGGTTAAATTGTTTCATCAATTGGTTAAATTATCTCATCAATTGGTTAAACTATCTCATCACAAGGTTAAATTATCTCATCGATTGGTTAAATTATCTCAAGTGGTCAAATTATCTCATCATGTAGTTTAATTATCTCATCATGTGGTTAAATTATCTCATCATGTGGTTAAATTATCTCATCATGTGATTAAATTATCTCACCACTTGGTTAAATTATCTCATCATGTGGTTAAATTATCTCATCATGTGGTTAAATTATCTCACCACATAGTTAACACATCACACAGTTTAATTATCGCACTACAAGATTAAAATCATGTATTTAACTTATCTAAATTTAAACCCCATTGTTACCTTAAATGGCCGACAGCTTTAGTTCTAACAAGGGAGAGAAGTATGAAGTTGTTCTGCTGGCCCTGGTAGCGATCTACAGTCGTAACCTGGAGAACAGAAGATTTTATTTGAACCAACGTGACCAACAGCATAACTGAGTTGTAAGCTTCTTGTTGGCAGCTTAAGTCCTGGTCTGACAACAGGCTAACCCTAACCTAACTAACCTAACCTAACCCACCAGGCAGCAAACAATGACATTCTGTGTTGAGATGTTTCACCAGAGTGATCCCCCAACCATGACTTAACAGTTCTAGTGTTGATAAAAAAAAATGAGAACGTACCTTATGTGGTCTTCCAATCAGTGGATTGTTGCCACATCGTTGATGTATCACATCGCGGATGAGATGTTTCTGACCGTTGTATGTTGTCAAGATTGAAATTTGTTCCCCTGGGTATCCAATCATACGCATGTACATAAACACTGCAACCACATATTCAGCTTCAGCCAGATTCTGGGAGAGAAAAAAAAAGTTACCATAAAGATATTTACTTCCCCTGAACAGTTACAGACTTTATGTACAACTGGTATTATTTAGTTAAGTTTAAATAGGTATTATGTTCTACAACTTAAAACTGTATGTATTTTATTATACCTGTGTTATCAGTTCAAATTATGTGATTTTGTCTTGATTTTTTTAATCAATAAAAAAATAAACTGTATTACTACAATTAGGCCTAATGCTAATAATATAATTAATGTGTGTTTCGACAATGAAAATGTAACATCTAACTGGACATGCTAATGCTAACTAAGGTAAGTAAAACTGACTTGGTAGAAGTAAGGGTTAGGCTCAGATTCTCCCATGCCGTTGAAGTCCCCAACATCAATAAGCTGGAACTCATACAGGAAGCCTGCATTGGCTTGTCTAAACTCTGGCCTGATGAGCACATGAGGCAGTGATCCCAGCTTCTTGTAGCGCCAGTTGTACAGCTGTGCCAGACTGAAGGAAAAATGTCAAAACTTTTCATTTTATACTTAAACAAATAGGGTGAGTCATTAATTTTAAAAAATTATCTTAGCAGTTAATTTTTTAAAATTAACATAGCAGTTAATTTTTTAAAATTAACATAGCAGTTAATTTTTTTAAATTAACACAGCAGAGCATAAAATATTTTTAAAAACTGCAGTAAAACAATTTGCCAATCTGACAGGCTTCACCAATAAAAATGTGGTCAACAATAACTGTACCTTGATCTGGCTCTTCCCTGAGCATCCAAATCAACTGTAGGAACCCCCAGTCTCACCAGACGGGTAAACAGGGACTGTTCCATGTTGGAAAACTTCTGGAAGGCCATGTTTTTGATGACAGGGGGCAGCTGGTGGTGGTCACCAATCATGATCCATCTTTTTAATCTGCTGTTGCCATCTTTAGGATTCTGGAGAAACAAATTATTCAATCAAGTCTTGAACACAGCCACTGAATTGACAACATCACATGAATGTACAGCTATACAGATACCCATATATAATATGTCTGGTACTATTGGCACCAACTTCTTACCTGTAACAGGAGAGGAATGAATGTTTCTATCTCAAGGATCTGTGCTGACTCTTCCATCAAAATATTGTCAAACTACAACAAAAAATATTTGTTTCATTTTATTTCAAATAAAACTCATCATTTAAAAAAAAAAAATTAAATTTTAAAAATTATCAATGAATTTTAATTTTCTTCCATGTTGACTAGAATCAATTAAAACAAATCTTAAGAAAGGAGAAAGAAACCATCGACTGTGTCCTCACCTGGAAGCCCACGGTGACCAGGTCTCGTCTCTTGAGAGCTGCGTGTGTACACGTCATGGCAATAATTTTTGCCTCTTTAATCAGCAGGTAATTGGCTCGGTCAGATCCACTCCTCAACAGCTCAAACGCTCTGAACTCCTGAATCAATTTAACAAAAAGAATATTATTGAATGGTAAAGTCTACTACTACTTTGACATGGTAACACACAGAAATCAAATATACAGAAGAAAGGCTGACCTCCAGCTGGGTGAAGATTTTCTTGAGGTGAGTGAAACATCCTTCAGCAATGTCCATGTCTTCAGTGAATGTTTTACCATGAAACAATGGTTGAGGGGCGTTGGCGAAAAATTTGTTGAACGGGAAAAAAGCTTGGATTTTTTTAACATGTTCATCCTGCAAGAAGAAGTGATGTGAAATTTCATTTATTTTTCAATGATCAAAGACAGTATGAATAATTTTTTGGATAGGATGGAAAATTGTGAACAGAAACGTAAACAGCAAATGTAAGAATAACAAGTTTTAAAAAAACTAAAAAAGCAAGAAGAACCGTCCATTGAAGTTTTACCTGGCCATAAAATGGCTTGATCTTGCTCTGAAACTCTTCCCAGCGTGACAGAACCTGGCAGAGGGGAACAAAAATGTATGGTACGTTAGTTAAGGTATATGAGGTAATGGTGTTGTTTTATATATGGTTATCAGTATACTGAAATCAGCTTGTTTTTAAGTTGGTTGTGACATTGTAGAAAACTGAAATCTTGTTGTTTTTTTTATGTTGGTAACAGAGAATTAAATTAGCAAATAAATATTGAACAAGTACATGAACTGGATGAAAAATATTTTGTGGATTATTTAGCAAAGAGGGCAGGTAAAGAGCAGTACCTGGTAGATGTAAAAATAGCCAGCAGTCTCACAGGTGTAGGACATGTCACCTATCTCTCCCAGACTGATCTGCAGCCTGTTGACCTCCTGCAGCAGTTCCAGCCTCTGGGCCAGCACGTAGTTCACACGGCCATACCTGGGGGAAATACCTGGCTGTTATAGAGTTAAGTTCACACGGCCATACCTGGGGGAAATACCTGGGTGTTAGACAGTTAAGTTCAAATGACCATACTGGGGGGGGGGGGGAATTTGAGGGTGATTCTTCTTCTTCGTTCTTAATTATTAGTGTTGAAGGTGATCGAGATTTATCTGCCAGTGGGTTTTGAACTCGAGACTTTGTTCGAATTTATCAACCATGAGCTTTTTTGCCGACTCGACCACGCCTCCAACACAATTAAGCGTTACGTGTCAACTGGTTATGCGCCATTGAGGCCATTGACTCCAATTTCAGCCTGCTTTTCTTTTTGGATTTGCTTCCATAGCCTTTGTCCAACCAAGAACAAACTACAAGGCAGCAGTTGTTTGATTTTGGAGTTGTCTCTCCTAGAAGAGTGGCTGTCCCCAGCTAACGAGCCTCATCTGCCCGGGGGTTCGAACTCGAGACTTTTCGGTTTAGCAACCATGAGCTTTACCGACTCGACCACGCCGACCCTTATAAGGGTGATAATATGTGTTATGTTGGGACGGCATGGCCTAAGCGGTTGACTGCTAACTGGCATTCGAATCTGGGTTCAAATCAGTAGAACGTCCCTGAGTTCACCCAGCACGGATGGGTACCTAACTCATGTTAGGGAAAGTAAAACTGGCTGACCATACTACTGACCACACCTTCCCTTCATATGCCGAGGTCAGGAAATATGGATTGCTAGGTCTAAAGAGGATTGTTTACTTGAATGTGTTCTTTAGTTCACACAACCATACCTTCATGCTCCACTTACTAAAACATGAACAAGAGAAATTCAAAACTTTACCTGCTAAAATCTTTCTCTGTCTCTAAAGCTTCCTCACCATGACCAAGACGCAGCAAATGTCTCTCATCAACATCAAGGGCCATGATTTTTTCAAACAGCTGATTCAAGGCCTGAAAGAAAAAAACACATTGTTCCAATCCAGGAATTTTTTATGCATCTAATTTAGAGCCTGAAATACAAAAACATTTTTTTTTTTTTGAAAAAGTGATTTAAGGCCTGAAAGAAACATGTTTTATTCTAATACAGAATTATTTTTAAAATGTAATTACATATCTAAAACCTGACCAGAACCCATATTCAACCCATATTAAACAGCAGTTTCCCATGGCAACAAAGCTAACCTGATTGGAGTGTGTGACCACCAGCATCCTCTGGTTGGGGAAGTTGTGGTAGATGTTTGAGATAATCTGCACGGCCACGTCAGTTTTACCCGTCCCAGGGGGCCCCACCACCATGGTCAGGCCAGGCTGCATGCCTGCTCGGATGGCCTCGATCTGGGTGGGCGTGAACTGGATGGCATTCCTGAAACAACATCATTAGCTAATTATTAGCTAATTACTTATTTGGTGGGAAAATAAAATTATTTAAGGTAAATAACATTAATGGGACGAAGTGGTCTAGTGGTAGAGAGCTGGACTGCTAACCCGTAAGTCTCGAGTTCGCGCTAGGGAAAGTAAAGGCCGCTGGGCATAGTGCTGACCACACTATCTCTTCATATGCCAAGGTCACAGAAACAAGTGAACTCAACTTCACTTGCCCTATAGACCATCAGGTTTGAAAAGGGAACTTTACTTTTCTTTAAATAACATTATGTACATATTGACAATGGTAAATAACATTATATCCATATCCATAATGGTAAATAACATCCATATCCACAATAGTTAATAACATATAAATGTAAATACAATTGAGCAGTGGGATAAAACTTTGAACTTACTTTTTAGGCTGGTTGTATGGGTAAGGTCCTCTGTTAGATATAATATGTGGCATAGCTTTCACTATTTTCTTTGCTTTTGCTTCATCTGTCTCATTCTCTCTCTTTCCTTCAGACTTTTCATCTTCAAATGACAACCTTTTGTTTGAGTATACAACCAACAGTTAGGCTATCAAAACATGAAACTGTATCCAAGGTTACAGTTTGACATAGTTAAAAGAAGAAAAGTTCAAAGTTAACCAGTTAAATAATGAGAACAAAATTAAATATAGTTGATTGATTGCTTTGTGTCTTACTATACAGTCGACTAATTATGTAGTGTCTTACTTGAAAGGTGGGACCTGAGCATCTTTCTCACCAGCCACTGTGAGGGTGAAGTCAGGAAAACTTGCCTCCAAATGTTCCAGGTTTAGGAATGTGTCGTTCCAGTCTAAGTTAGCACTTCTGTTGGGCATTCTGATACAGAGGCAAATAGGTACAAACATTCTGATACAGAGGCAAGTAGGTACAAACATTTACATGACCAAATAGTACAAACATTCTGATACAGAGGCAATCAGGTACAAACATTTACATGACAAAATAGTACAAACATTCTGACACAAAGGCAAGCAGGTACAAACATTTACATGACAAAATAGTACAAACATTGTGATACAGAGGCAAATAGGTACAAACATTGTGATACAGAGGCAAATAGTTACAAACATTCTTATACAGAGGCAAATAGGTACAAACATTCTTATACAGAGGCAAATAGGTACAAACACTCTAATACAGAGGCAAATAGGTACAAACATTCTGATACAGAGGCAAATAGGTACAAACATTCTGATACAGAGGCAAATAGGTACAAACATTCTGATACAGAGGCAAGTAGGTACAAACATTTACATGACCAAATAGTACAAACATTCTGATACAGAGGCAATCAGGTACAAACATTTACATGACAAAATAGTACAAACATTCTGACACAAAGGCAAGCAGGTACAAACATTTACATGACAAAATAGTACAAACATTGTGATACAGAGGCAAATAGGTACAAACATTGTGATACAGAGGCAAATAGTTACAAACATTCTTATACAGAGGCAAATAGGTACAAACATTCTTATACAGAGGCAAATAGGTACAAACACTCTAATACAGAGGCAAATAGGTACAAACATTCTGATACAGAGGCAAATAGGTACAAACATTCTGATACAGAGGCAAATAGGTACAAACATTCTGATACAGAGGCAAATAGGTACAAACATTCTGATACAGAGGCAAATAGGTACAAACATTCTGATACAGAGGCAAATAGGTACAAACATTCTGATACAGAGGAAAATAGGTACAAAATAGAAACAATTAAGGTGGAATACTATAGTAGTAATAGTTAGCCTAAGCTAACTCTACAGGATTACATTAGCTTTATCTTTAAGCTTAACCAACAAACATCCAGTGACAACATACTTGGAGTAGTGTGCAGAGTCAGGGTCACCATAACCCAGGATGAGGTCATGTAGCCAGTCTGGCACCACACACTCTGTGTTCATCAGGTCTCTGATAGTTTCCAGCACTGCCTTAAAGTTGTTCTCCTTGGGCTTCCTCCTCATCATCACATTAAACGTCTCATACACGTCCTGAAAGTTATCAAACATTAAATGTTTTGTACACGTCCTGAAAGTTATCAAACATTAAATGTTTTGTACACGTCATGAAAGTTATCAAAGATTAAATGTTTTGTACACATCATGAAAGTTATCAAAGATTAAATGTTTTGTACACATCATGAAAGTTATCAAAGATTAAATGTTTTGTACACATCATGAAAGTTATCAAAGATTAAATGTTTTGTACACATCATGAAAGTTATCAAAGATTAAATGTTTTGTACACATCATGAAAGTTATCAAAGATTAAATGTTTTGTACACATCATGAAAGTTATCAAAGATTAAATGTTTTGTACACATCATGAAAGTTATCAAAGATTAAATGTTTTGTACACATCATGAAAGTTATCAAACATTAACAAGTCAACAACTAGCTAAAACATCATAAGAAAAAATATCCAAGCAATACAAACAAAAAAATCTAGAGTGAAATATTTTAAAAGTTTAGCTTGTAAGAATTTAACAGTTCCAGGGTCTGGTTATACATAGTCGTGTGACTACAGATTTACATAGTCAAGTGACTCCTGCAATGTATAGTCATGTGACTGCAGCTATACACAGTCATGGGACTCCGGCTATACATAGTCATGTGACACCGGCTATACATTATAGTCATGTGACTCCTGTTATAAATAGTCATGTGACTCCTCACCTCCTTGCCGCTGACGTTTTGAGTCATGTCCAGCTGATACTGGTTGGGGTCCAGCCACACTCTGTAGGTGCGGTTGTCACTGTGGAACTCTGGTTTAGGCTCTGGACCTGAAACAGATGCAGAGACGTGTAATCTTACTGCAAACATCACAACAAACAGACACACAAAACAGATGCACAGGTATGTAATCTTACTGCAAACATCACAACAAACAGACATGTAATCTTACTGCAAACATCACAACAAACAGACACACAAAACAGATGCACAGGTATGTAATCTTACTGCAAACATCACAACAAACAGACATGTAATCTTACTGCAAACATCACAACAAACAGACATGTAATCTTACTGCAAACATTACAACAAATAGACATACACAACATCTGAAAGATCCAGTTTGAACAAGTAACCATAAACAGTAAAAAAAAAATTTTCATTTTACAAAATTTGTAGTTCAATAATTTTTAGAAACATTTTAAAATTAATAATTGTGTAATCAGAAAAAGTAATTGAAATTAGACTAGTAAATATTAGTGAATGACTTACCTTCTTCAATAAGTTTCCCACTCTCATCAAGAAGTCCCTCAATTTCACAACCTCTCACGTAAACAAGACCAACCTAAAAAAATCAACAAGTGTCCACTAGATCAATACTGTGTTTCAAACAACATTAAACAACAGGATTAAAATTAAAAATAGCAATCATTTAGGTAAACAGTGTAGTTGTCTCAAGAGGTGGTCAGTTACCTGTGGTTTAAAAGGTTCTTGGTGGTTGTATTTATATCCAATAGGAACTTCAGGCCGCAGTGTTAACAGAAAAGCAACGTCATGTTTTCTTAAACCTAAAAATAAGAGAGCAAGAACCAAATTTAAACATGCATACTACAAAACAGAATGGTCACAGAATTATCAGCTAGGCGACCATTGTTAGAATTGTACACATTTTAGGAAGGGTAATAGTTTACCTTGCCACTCATACTTGACCTCTGGCCTGACACTGAGGTTCAAGGTCACATCAGCTCTGACCTGAGCAGGGTGGTTTTCTCCAAGCTGTGGTTTAGCCACCTGTTGAGCAGAAGATGTTCAAACAATGAATGGTGAGAAAATTAATAAAAGTGGTTTGTAGAACCAATCTATGAGCTTAGATAACTATGATTAAAAAAACCTTAATCATGTTGAAAAATTGGGATAAAATTTGGCTGGTACAAGCAAACCAGTAGCTCAGATAAATAGGGTAAAACAGTCCTACACAATGGCTTAGATAAATAGGGTAAAACGACCATACACAATGGTGTAAGAATAGATAAAATGTAACATTGCTGGTACAAGTGAAACATTAGCTTATATAGAAAGACAAAAACAAACCTCCACAATGGTGAAAGAATGGATAAAATTTAACATGGCTGGTACAAGTGAAGCATTAGCTTATATAGGAAGACAAAAACAAACCTCCACAATGGTGAAAGAATGGATAAAATTTAACATGGCTGGTACAAGTGAAGCATTAGCTTATATAGGAAGACAAAAACAAACCTCCACAATGGTGAAAGAATGGATAAAATTTAACATGGCTGGTACAAGTGAAGCATTATCTGATATAGAAAGACAAAAAAAACCCTCCACAATGGTGAAAGAATGGATAAAATTTAACATGGCTGGTACAAGTGAAGCATTAGCTTATATAGGAAGACAAAAACAAACCTCCACAATGGTGAAAGAATGGATAAAATTTAACATGGCTGGTACAAGTGAAGCATTATCTGATATAGAAAGACAAAAACAAACCTCCACAATGGTGAAAGAATGGATAGGCTGCGCCATGCGAGCCCAACCTCCAAACAAACAGTGACCATCTTCAGCTTTCCTGTTTTAATTCAAAAATTTATTATAAAAAAATTATCTTATTAAAAAATAATGTCAAATATTGTGACGTTTTTTTATACATTAAAAAATGAATCATTGAAATGAATGCAGAACTTATTAGAAACGTAAACACTAACCAAGGTTTCATGTGAGTAATGGCGTCTTCAATATCTTGTCTGATCTCATCTGAAAACAAAATTATAATGGTGTCAGTCATGTTCAATCTTAAAATAAAATTTCAAACCAAAATATTATTCTTAGAACCAAATTTGAAACAACTTTGCTGACTGATACTCACAAGTCGACTCAAGTCTAAACAGATTAAAGTTGCGCAGGAGATAATCATGAAGTGTTAAGAATTGCAAGTTCAACTTTGGCAATGCCAGACAACCTGAAAAACACAAGTCATTGATTACAGCCCTGAACACTTACAAATTTTGTTTAGTTGTATTCATCCAATTGAAAATTATAAAAAAGCTTTAAATCGACAAAGTCCAGTTGGGTGATTTATGAAAAAAAATCTCTTTTTTTTACAGTTCCTGTAAATAAATAAAATGCTATACTAAATGCCCAAAAAAATAATACCTTCTCCAGAGAAGAATTCTGATGGCACAATGTTCTCATCCCAGATAATTTCTTCAGTGGGGTACAAGGGCATCTCATTGATGGCCTCCTGCTGGGATATCTTGCGCTCATGCTTCCATTTCTGCAATCAACATCGTAATTCATTCACGTTATCAGAAACTGATACATTTCTTACATTTTATACAATGAATGTATTACCCAACCAAATGGAGTTTTCAACAGTAAACTTTTGTGTAACAACAAAAACAACTACAACAATGACGTCAGACAGAACACAACCACAATGTTGGGAATGAACTGCACACTCAAACAACAATAAGTGAACAATACAGTTAGCAGCATCACAAGTACAAACCAATATTTCCAATAGGAAGGTCTTTGAATATTGTGTTTCTTCTGTCTCAAGGGGAGGTAAGTAGTTTAAGTGTGCTAGTAATCTGTGCAAATCTTCAGCACTATAGGTAGAAAAGAAATAATGCATTCAAAAAAATATTAAAAGCTTGTCTTGCTATAATTTTAAACAAACATTAAACAATGTTACCAGGCAAACAAAATGTTTGGTTTATGTTCCATGTTAAAACATGTTGAGTACCGAACAAACATTAAACCAGGCAAACAAAATGTAAGGTTTCCTATTTAATGTTCCATGTTAAAACATGTTGAGTACCGAACAAACATTAAACAATGTTACCAGGCAAACAAAATGTAAGGTTTCCTATTTAATGTTCCATGTTAAAACATGCTGAGTACCAAACAAACATTAAACCAGGCAAACAAAATGTTAGGTTTCCTATTTTTAATGTTCCATGTTAAGACATGTTAAGTACCTGAGAGGTTCAAAGAATTTTAAAATAGAATCCTTGGTGTCCACACTGGCCACATTTTTGATGGCATAGTTTTTTAGTTCTGGGAAGTGCTTGAACAGGACACACTGAAAAGTTTTAACACAATTTTCATCAATTTATCGTTTGCATTGTTTGTGACTACATAAAATCCACACAAAGAACACACTGTTTTAACATTTATGTTAAAAACTACTTATACAGATTGTTAGAATTTAAAATTATAACTCCTGATTATTCTAATACTTTGCAATATATTTTAAATTTACTTGTAGGTAGCCTTACCAGCGCCACAGATAAAAATTAGAAAATAAGTTCGTTAAACATAATTACCTGCAGGGCGTTAACCTTATTATAGTGTAGGTCAATTCTGTCATGCATGGTCAAGGCTTCCCCTGTGATCTCATCAATCTCAAACAGTGCATAGGACTCCAGCATTTCCAGAAGCTGAAAGGGAGGATTGGAAATGATCAAGTACATGTTAACAGTTGGGCAGATTAGAAACAATCAACTACTTGTATCACCTAGCACAAATTTCCACAGTATGATGTGACCACTCAAACAACCTCCCACTTACCTGTCCAAACAGCTTGCCCTCTGGACGGTGGATCAGTTGTGAGAGTTTGCACCTGACAACCACATGCCGGTCATCTATCAAAGCATTGACGAACCTTCGAGTAGGGAGCTGGGCTTCAATATCAATCAACAGCTCCAGGAAACGTTCACAGTAATGCATTTTGTTGGGATCTGCTGAGCCTGAGTTTTCAATTGAAATATTAGACATGAAAATATTTGCGATCAGTAAAAATATATTAACTGCCTTTTTTTTATCTTAAGCCAATTTTTAATTTGTTTACAATCTCATTACAAATTTTATATAAATTAACTTAAGATAAAATTGTTGCTAAAAATTCTACAAATGTAAATATTCACAACATAATAACTTTGAGACCTATGTATTTGAAAATTAAAATCTATCTTGATTTATTTTTAATGGTTGATAAGCATTAATCCTTTTTAAAATCTCCAATAATTTACCTTTAAAAGGAATGGAATCCAGGATGTTGAAGAACTTTTCTAAGAGTCTAGCAAAGAAATTCCTTTCAAACTGGACAATCTCCCTCTCCTCCTGCGGAAGCTTCTCATCCCTCTTTTGAAAGGCGTTGTAAAACTTCTTGTACTTGGGGTTGGCTCTGAACAGCTCTTCTCGCCTGCCCTGGGTTGTGAGGGCAACAATTAGAGCACACATTCAAATGGTGGGTAGAAACTTATCAATAAGGGTACATATTTAAACAATAATTTAATGCTGAATCTGAACATGTATTAAAATTAAACAAAGGAAGAACATGATGCTAAGTTGTCTAAGCCTCATTAAAAAATGTCATGTGAGTTGTTTAATTAAACAAGAATTTTGAAAAGTAACACAAAGGCTGTGATTACTTACTGGAAGAAGATTAGTCCACACAGGAAGAGAGACCAGTCTCTGCACTCTTTCTCTGATTAAATCTACTTCCTAAAAGTTAGATAATCCACAATAAATATTTATCACAAATAGCAAGAAAATAATAATTTTAAAGCAAAAAAAAAAGCCCACTAAAACAGTTGTATAGTTAAATGAATGAATGAATAATTATGAATAAAATATATGTACCAGACTGTTGAAACAATGTATAAGAAAAATTAACAGCACTGCTGTTTCTTTGTAGGAGAGGCCACCGGCACTAAGACAAAGGTCAAGGACATGTCGGAACAAGTGAGGAAACTCTTCAGGGAGGGCTTTAAAACTCTGGAAAATAATGATGCTATCATTAATTGTACCAAAATATTTTATATTGGAGCTGTTTTGTTTTTCTTTAAAGAAATGTAGTAAGTGCTTGTCAATTACATGTCTTCAAGTAGATGTTATAACTTTCTTTTTGTGTTGAGAATATTAACTTGTTTTGCAATATGGATTAAATGTTAAGTTACCTCCCATGCTGGAACCCTTTCTCTAAATTTTTCATTGATGATTGCAGCAATAGACATCACATGGGTGGTTTTAGCCTTGTAGGAAGAAAAAAGCTAATTGTTACCTTCCATTATAGATAAAATACATTGATGATTTGTCATTAAAACAAGAAATATTTAAAATCAAAATAAATCACTAAAATAAATTGAATTCTAACCTTTCCTTTCTTGTAATTTGGCCACAGATAATTTTCTAAGTAGCGGCTGAATTCCAGCATCATAATTCTCTTTGTCGAGAAGCTGTCATTAAAGAGAAACCACATTTCAAAGATTTTCAAATAGTGAAAAATATCTTTACAAATAAATAGCCAAGTTTTGATACCATATAATATCAGATGTTTTTGTAATGAATTAATTAATGTATATGTTAGTAAGAGATAATAAAATAATTTTAAAAATTAAAAGGAAATCTATAATGAACTTATATTTTACTTACTTTGTGCCCATAAGCTCTACTTGATATATTTCATCTACAATCTAAAATTATTATTTTTTAAAAATGTCAATAAATTTTACAAGAAAACTTACATAATTTTAAAAAACTCCAATTTGTGCACAATCAAATCATAGAAAAAATACATAACTAGTATTTTTTTTCAGGTTTTTAAAGTATGCATTTTTTAACTTTTATTTTTCTGATAAAACACTTCAACAAAAGTGGTTCACTAATATTTTTATTCTTATAAACTATCCTTTTTAATAGAACCTTTTACAATCCTGCCATTCTGCAATCAAGTTTATCATACTATTAAATAATATAAAATTATAAAAATAAAACTAGTAGTCTTGACTTTAAAAATTATTTTTCTATGTGCATTTGTTTTTAAACTGCAAGGGAGAAAAAAGGTCTCACCTGGGGTTTAAATGGTACACCATTTTTCTTTGCCTCCGGGCTCCAATTTTTAAATGCAAGCTGAAATCATTTGTTAAAGGTTACAACACCAAAAATCACATCAACCTCTTTACATATATAAATAAGTTTGGGGGTTTAGCAAAGCTAAATTATAATTTTAAAAATTCTTTCTTTTAAAAAACAAGATACAGTAAAACATAATAATTGTCCTAATTTAACCCACACTAAACAGTAAATGGCATAAAACTACCTCAGTTATTGGGTCTACTTGAATTTGCTCAACAGTTATAGCTGTTGATTTTTTGCCAGTAGATTTAGGTTTTTCCTCTTTTATTTCAGCTTTGACTTGCGTTTCCATTTCTACAGTCTAAGAGGTTATTCTTGTATTTATATATTTTTTATATAGTGATTTGATAAGGTAATCTTTAAGTCAGCATTTCTTGAATTCCTTAAAAAAAGAGGCAGATGAGATTTGTTTAGTAAGAAAGTTTTCCTCCTTAATTTTATGATCGCTCACACAAATTTTCTTGTAAGCCAGAGAAAATCCTGACAGTCTAAGGGTCACTGTAAGTTTAATTAAGATATCAGCAGACCTATCAGATAGCATATGTCATAGTATGAACAATTTCTATTTGATATTGTTGATGACATCAGGGATGATTATAGATACCAGTGTCCCATAATGGAATCTTCTTTAAAAAAGGGGTGTTGGGTTGTTAGTAGTATTGTAATCTCGACTAATTTTATGATTAGAAATTAGGGTTAGGCGTATGGTTGGACCAGGGTTGGGGTTAGGGACAGGGTTAGCATTGACATTAACCAGCCATGTGTGTATTTAGTTAACTACCAGTCAAAGAAGATTCCATTATCAGACACCGGTGTAACCATTCTCCCGACATGAGTTCTGTTTTTACACAGACCAAGCAAAATGAAAAACGTTCTTTGTAAATTAAAATTTACATAAGCTTCTATTATTATTGACTAATACCATGCATGCGAGAAAGTTCAAGTAACTAGGCTCTAGATTTGTAGCCTATTTCTTTTAGGCCTATATAGATCTATTTATATTTTATAAATTTCAGATTGATATAAAATTAATTTATGTTAACAATGAACATTAGAACAGAAAAAAGCAACTAGAATCTACATTGTTACATAAAGTATAAAGTGACAAATTTTAATGTAGTATTTTGGCTGTTTTGAACTAGATCTAGGTGGTGTTCATTTATTTTATTCAATAATAAAAATAACTTTAAGAAGTCATTAATTTTCAATCTAATGTTGCATCATCATAATTTATTAATTTTATTTACAGTTAAAAGGCAGTATTTATAGGTAGGGTTGTCGGCATCCGCCGAGTTCGCGGTAAAAACATGACCCGAAATCGCCCATTACTTTCTGATACCGGACCCACGAGATTTGGTTTTGCATACTAATAAGTTTTTAATTTATGGTAATTAATTAAGTTTAAAAGGTCATTTCCTAAGGTTAATTAAAAAGAAGAGTGGTTATCCCTTAGTTTTAATGGCTTTGCGACCTGATTGCATGCTGTCTCTGCTTTGGTCTTCCCTCTGTATCAAGGTTAGTTTCAAATACGTTGGAATCTCGATTTTTTAAAAGATTCCTCTAGATGAGAGTAGATTACTGATCAGACATATCTTAAGTAATCGGAAATGAAATTTGTTTTTGGATATTTTGACTCCGACATTAGTTATACCCCTCCGAACGTAGTCACTGTATGTAGGTCACGCTGCCACCATTGTTATATTTTTTCATCCCGATCTTCCTGCCTTTAAGTTTGATCAACTAATAACAGCATTCTTATGGCATGTGCAAACAAATCTAATTTTTTATTTCAAAATATATTTACATACCCATCTTTAATTTTTTCAGCTCTAGTTCTAGTTTTGCAGAATGTTTTTCCTAAAAATCCAATATTGTTAGACTAGACTCTAGACTGACGAGAGTCAGACCTAGATCTAGGTTACCTGTCTGTTGCTATACACTAGCAATGTGCTAACTGTAATTTTAAGTATTCAAGTTCTACTTACCCTTAGATATAGTTATATGCTGAAAATCAGAATCCATACGCCATACACAATTCACACATAAAAACATTGATCTGATAACTTCATTTCACTTATTACAAAATGGCTTTTATATGGACTCTACTTCACCTGCCCAAAATAACAAGGCAGTTATAGACACATTACAGTGTTCAAGTCATTTACTTGAGATTTCTGACTATGGAGTTCTTTCATTCACTGTATTTATATAAAATATTGCTTTAGAAACATTTTCATATTTGCGCAGCAGTTTTATAACAAAATGGCTTAAAGATGGACTCTACTTCACCTGCCCAAAATAATGAGGCAATTATATGCACATAACAGTGTTCAAGTCATTTACTTTAGATTTCTAACTTTGTAGTTCTTTCATTTGCTGTATTTATATAAAATATGGCTTTAGAAACATTTTCATATTTGCGCAGCACACAGTTTTTTGGGGTTATGGGAGGAAGCCAACACAAAAATATAAGTTCTGTATTATTTTTATTAATTTCAACAGCATTTACAAGTTCTATATATCATTCTAGTTAAACTCTGCAAATATGAACAAAATACAACTGCAAGTAAAATAACTATGCTCAATTTATTCAGGTATACCATGACTTGTCACAATTGGCCAATGCTAAAGTAGGGATTTAGGTAAAAAAACACTAATCATCATATAAAAATACAAATTACATATTCTTGTAGAGCTCAACTATATGTAAACAAAACAAAAAAGATTTTCTGTCTAGCTCAAATAGTTTTTTTTTGGCGAATTTTTTTGTGAGGGGTGGAATCCCCTTGCTTTTGCATTGGCCAATTGTGACAAGTCATGGTATACCTGAATAAATTGAGCATAGTTATTTTACTTGCAGTTGTATTTTGTTCATATTTGCAGAGTTTAACTAGAATGATATATAGAACTTGTAAATGCTGTTGAAATTAATAAAAATAATACAGAACTTATATTTTTGTGTTGGCTTCCTCCCATAACCCCAAAAAACTGTGTGCTGCGCAAATATGAAAATGTTTCTAAAGCCATATTTTATACAAATACAGCAAATAAAAGAACTACAAAGTTAGAAATCTAAAGTAAATGACTTGAACACTGTTATGTGCATATAATTGCCTCATTATTTTGAGCAGGTGAAGTAGAGTCCATCTTTAAGCCATTTTGTTATAAAACTGCTGCGCAAATATGAAAATGTTTCTAAAGCAATATTTTATATAAATACAGTGAATGAAAGAACTCCATAGTCAGAAATCTAAAGTAAATGACTTGAACACTGTAATGTGTCTATAACTGCCTTGTTATTTTGGGCAGGTGAAGTAGAGTCCATATAAAAGCCATTTTGTAATAAGTGAAATGAAGTTATCAGATCAATGTTTTTATGTGTGAATTGTGTATGGATTCTGATTTTCAGCATATAACTATATCTAAGGGTAAGTAGAACTTGAATACTTAAAATTACAGTTAGCACAATGCTAGTGTATAGCAACAGACAGGTAACCTAGATCTAGGTCTGACTCTTGTCAGTCTAGAGTCTAGTCTGACAATATTGGATTTTTAGGAAAAACATATTCTGCAAAACTAGAACTAGAGCTGAAAAAATTAAAGATGGGTATGTAAATATATTTTGAAATAAAAAATTAGATTTGTTTGCACATGCCATAAGAATGCTGTTATCAGTTGATCAAACTTAAAGGCAGGAAGATCGGGATGAAAAAATATAACAATGGTGGCAGCGTGACCCACATACAGTGACTACGTTCGGAGGGGTATAACTAATGTCGGAGTCAAAATATCCAAAAACAAATTTCATTTCCAATTACTTAAGATATGTCTGATCAGTAATCTACTCTCATCTAGAGGAATCTTTTAAAAAATCGAGATTCCAACGTATTTGAAACTAACCCTGATACAGAGGGAAGACCAAAGCAGAGACAGCATGCAATCAGGTCGCAAAGCCATTAAAACTAAGGGACAACCACTCTACTTTTTAATTAACCTTAGGAAATGACCTTTTAAACTTAATTAATTACCATAAATTAAAAACTTATTAGTATGCAAAACCAAATCTTGTGGGTCCGGTATCAGAAAGTAATGGGCGATTTCGGGTCATGTTTTTACCGCGAACTCGGCGGATGCCAACAACCCTAGCTAAAGCAAGGGGATTCCACCCCTCACAAAAAAATTCGCCAAAAAAAAACTATTTGAGCTAGACAAAAAATCTTTTTTGTTTTTTTTTTCATTTTGTTGAGCTCTACAAGAATATGTAATTTTTATTTTTATATGATGATTAGTGTTTTTTTACCTAAATCCCTAGGCCTATGTGCATTTACATTTAGTTTTATGATTAGATTTTTAAAAAGCATGATTTAGATCTGATCTGGATTCTAATTAAATTAATTTTTTTAAAAATTAGGCCTAATCAAGAAAATAATAAATAAATAAATATTAAATTAATAAATATCAATGTGCACTCAACATTTGTGGGATCAGAGAAAGTTCATGTGAAATAATTATTAAAACTTAAGAAGTCACCTGTTTTTCACATTACTAGATCTAGGTCTAGTCGCTGGCGATTTTACGTACCTAAAACTCCTAAAACGATAGATTACCAATTATTGTTTGAAACTTTTTACCCAGTTTTTGAAATTCGACAACAAAACGAAGCATGTAGATTACTAAACACTGACAAATTACCGAAAACCAACAATTAATAATGTTAAGCTATGCATCATTTCACATTTCTCTCTGTACTGCTTTCAATAATTGTAAGCATTGAAACATGTTTGTATTCGTCAGTTAAACTTTGTTTAAAAATGAATTACATATTTCGTACCAGACTATTCAACGAATCTACAAAGGCCTAGCAAACAACACAATCCACGATTCAATGACTTTTCGGATTCGTATTTCAAATTAATAGTATTTGAAACGCAGTTGGGTTAGATGTGGTTATTAGAGAGACCTAACTTATAAACGCCAAATACACTTTTTTGTTGGATTATTTATTACCATTGTGAGGACTCTAAGACCTTCTTTGAGTTTATAAATATTTAATTAACTTCACTGACTTAACTCAATACTACACAATCACAATGCAACAACAAACAATCCCATTCTTTCTTTTCTTATGAAGTTCTGAGGCCCGGCTCTATGATTGAGTGTGTGTGAGTTGAGTGTGTGTAGCCGGGTGTTGTCAAATGAAATACACTATACACTCAATCTCAATTATTCGACAAATACTCAAATAGTCAAATATTGTAATCAATCTCGACTAGATCTAGATCTAAATTCTAGATCTCGTTTTATAGTTAGAATTTAATGTTAGGCATATGTTGGGGTCGGTTTAGGGATAGCAACTTAAGCCATATGACGATATGTTTATGTTATATGGTTATGTGTTCTGGCAGGTCCTATCTAGAATACAGACAATACAAAAAACAATAACAATAGTTTTATTCATTCCAATCAAAACCCCAAATCTTAAAATAATAATAATTTATTAATTGTATAAGCCTAAATCTAGTTAACCAGATTCCTGAAAGAGGGGATGAGTTTTTATGAATGAGTTATGAGTACACTAGTCAGTCAGTCTTAAAAAAATTATGGTTATGTGTTCTGGCAGGTCCTATCTAGAATACAGACAATACAAAAAACAATAACAATAGTTTTATTCATTCCAATCAAAACCCCAAATCTTAAAATAATAATAATTTATTAATTGTATAAGCCTAAATCTAGTTAACCAGATTCCTGAAAGAGGGGATGAGTTTTTATGAATGAGTTATGAGTACACTAGTCAGTCAGTCTTTAATTATTTCCAAATATAATGAATATGTCTCAATTCTCTTTAAGTTTAGCAGTAAATATATTTGAGCCTTCAAGCTGATCATGATGCATAACTGAAGTTTATGGAGGGGAAAGAAGCTATATACTATATGATTTGGTGACTACCTTCATCTTCAAACTTCTACTGATCATATTTCAATATGATGGCAATGTCTTCAGAGCAGACAGCTGGACAATCCATAGAGCAGAGGGTGGAAGCATTGATAGACTCTGTGTTTGTAAGATAAAGCTTTTGATACTTTGCTTTTTAAAATGTTGTGAACATAGTCTTACATATTCTAACTCCAGTTTGCAAAAATCTTTTTAAAGTTTATTTTTGCCTGAATATTTTCAAAATAAGCACTAGTTGAAATAGAATAGTTCGGAAATGATAGATGTTGCCTCATTTATTTTTACCATGACACCATTGTGGATTTTAGAACATTGTTGAATAAATCTAGGGAAAAAAATGGAGCTACAACAGTCTGATTCTGGATGAATTTATATATATGAATGTAGGTATTTATATAATTATTTATGTAACAAAATATTTTTAATTTAACAGGACAATACATTGATAGGAAATGCCTTCAGTAATATAGCAGCTAAAAGACCAGGTCAAACATTGCATGATAGATGCATAGAAGGGGTGAAGGATTTTTGGACATCTCTCACAACTGTAAGTAATTTGCTTTCTCAAATAATGAAAGCTCCTTAAATAAATTGCTTTTAAAGAAGTCTTTTAATGTTACAGACATCAGTTAAAAACAATTAATACATCAGTCGGTGGTTATATATTGCAGGAACCTAAGGAAACAAGAGACCTTGCCTTAAGACTGCTTGTGCAACACTTACATAAACAATGGAATCAGAAGAGAGCAGATGCTATATGCGCTGCTCTAGAGGGACTTGTAGAAAAGAGCCTAGTCGAAGCTAAGTAGGTAAACTTTCACTCTGATCTAGTGAATTGGTTAGGCTTTCACTTGGTGAAGAAATAGATTTAAACATTTATAGTCTGCTACATTTTGTTTTGTAAATTTTTAATTCAAATAATAATGTTTCATTAGAAAAACTGTTTAATAATACAATTTTACTCACAAATAAAATATTATACATTAATTGCTTGTATTTTTTTATAGTCTAAATCAACAATTGTATTTTCTGGACTCTGCATGTTTAAAACATTTGTAATATTTTGTTTTAGGTCTGTTTGTGATGCTCTCTTGTCCTGCGACAAGCTCACTGTTGATGAAGAGTTACACTGGGTAGCTACGTTTAAACTGGCCAGAAAAATTATTGGTGGAGTAGACTACAAGGTTTGAGATTTTGATATTCTGTTCAAATAACATTATAAGAGAACAAATATTTATTTGATATGTTTTCACTTTTTAGTTTATCACACCAGTGAATGTAATAAAATCTTTTGGTTCATTCTTAAATGAAAGGGAGATAATCCTTCTGTTTCAGGGTGTCAGAGATCTACTCAAAGTTGTTTTAGAAAAATGTCAACTTTTGAACAATACAAACAACATATCCTGTCTCCCACTTATCAAAGTTGTTATTTCAGTAAGAGTTTTCCCTTTTCTTTTGATAACGTACTTAATACATTAAAAGATGTTTAAATGTTCATACAAACTTGTATTATCTTTTGTAGCTGGTGAAGTATATAATCAATAGAAATTCATGCCTGATGCCTGCGTACCTTGCTATCTATGAAATATCAAAGTTTGAATCAGACAAAAACCAACTGTGGCCTCACTGGGTAAGTTTTTTCATTTTATTGAAATTTATTTGTTATTGACTTATCAATGCTTTCTTTTTTACTGTTTTCTAGTTTCTTATTTTTCTTCATTTATCATTATTTTTGTTGTTACCACATAAAAATAAAAACAATCAAAAATGTGTTAGCATGAACTTAAGATAAAACCTATTTAATAAAAATATAAGCAGTAGTTTTTAAATGTTTGTCTTATACTTCCTTAAAGATTTGTTTTATTTTTTGTTAAAATATTTAAATTTTAGCCTCTGGGGAAAGTTCTTTGTGATTTTGTTGATGGGTTTAGGCACTGTGCTCAGATGGTTTCTATCTCTGGTGAGTTACTCTAGTCCAGCATTGCTGTCAGGTTCTAGTTATGGAACCACAACAATGGAAATACAACTAGTAACTCAATAATTCTTTTGTTTCCCAGGTAGAAATCAGCTTCTGCCCATAGTTGGCCACTCTATGTCATCCAGCAATGTGTGGAGACTCAACAGAATGACTTTAAGATTTGCTCTCAACGGGCCTTTACCTTACAACAGAGTAATTAATCTTTGTGTTTAGTTTTGTCCATCTAGGATATCTGTTTAGTTTTCTTTAAGTTAGAATAATTAGATGCAAACAGTCCACTAACTGTTTTAGAGTAATTTATATGCCTTTTATTATCTTTTTCTAAAAAAAAAATATTAATTGAGAGAAAGTGTTTATAATGTTATAATTTTGAAACAAAAACTTGTGTAATAATTTCATCTCTCTACCAGGAACTACAAGAGCCACAAAACAACTTACTTCGTTATGTTCTAGAACAACCTTACTCTAGGGAATTAGTTTGCAACATGCTGGAGCTCAACATACAGGTAAATAAAAAACTAGAATCTTTAAGGGTATTCATTATATTTCCTTTACTTAATCTTTGATACAAACCAATGTTATAATTCAGGACAATACAGTATCCTATGAAGGCTTTTATTCTGCTTGTATCGCTGTTAGTGTCAGGGCTGGATAGAATAACCTTAAATACATCATAATTTAACAAGTATAATGTTTTATTGTGTACAAGATGTATCATACCACCCTTCAGGCAAAGCAGCTTTGTGAAGTTCTAGAGCAGCAACTGGTTGATCTGCTGGTTTTAGCTCTGGAGAGATTTGAACACGAGAGCGCTAGTCAAGGGGACTCCCAGCTACAGTGGCAGCACTTGTCTTCACAGCTCATTTACTTTGTTCTCTTCCAGTTTGCCAGCTTTTCTCACATTGTGCTCTCCCTCTATGAGAAGGTGAGATCAAAGTTTTTAAATTACAACTCTCCTGTGTGGATTTTATTATTCCTAATCAATAGACTTTATATAATTTTAAGAGCACAAAGCAAAGTGTTTTTAATTTCTCATTTCTAGCTGAAAGGGAAGAATTTGAAAAAGGGCAGGCACCACTTGATGTGGGTGCTGCTACAATTTATCTCAGGAAGTATTCAAAAAAATCCAGTAAGTAATATTTCTATTTTTTGCACATTATATGCACTAATTGTAGTTTCAACTCAGTTGGGTCATGTGGTTTCAACTCTGTTGGGTCTGCTACCACCCTGGTACATGCTAATTACAAAGCATATTTTTCATTTTAGTCATATTGTGGATATTGTGTTGTCTAGTTGAGAATCATGACTCACATTTATTTTGATAGTCTTGACATTGTTTTAACATGCTGACTTCCTACCTGTGATGAAACTGTTGACCTTTTTTTTAAACTCTAGATAGATGACTCTCTACCTGTGATAAAATTAACTGTTGACATTGTTTTAAAAACTTTGATGACTTTCTGCCTTAGATGAAACTAACTGTTGACATTGTTCTAAAACTCTAGATAGATGACTTCCTACCCGTGATGAAACTCTATGATTTGCTGTATGATGACAAGGAGACCATACCTGTACCTGACATCAACAGCCCCCAGTCCACACATGTCATGGCCGCCACATGTATTTGGATTCACCTGAATAAAAAAGCTGGCAATATTAAATTGAGACCCATCCCCGTATCACTTAAAGAACACCTAGAGTAAGCTGACATAATTCCTTCTTATCACCATTTTTATGAAAACACATCTTATTAATAAAATCATCATTTATTCTGACTTTTTCTTAAATTGAAAGTTGATATTTCTAATGTTATATTTTGTTATATTTATTTTGTTTTTAACCAACCTATTATTTCCCATTATAAATTTGAAATGTTTTAAAAATAATATGATTTATTTTTGACAGCTTCCTGAAACAAAATTTAAAATCCCTCACACTACAAGGGTACAGGATAGCTTTAATGTGCAATGCTTGTAAGTAAAGTGTTTAATTTGTTTGAATATTCTTTCTATTTAAATAATGAAATTTGTTTTCAAGATATTCTATTAAAATTAAACTTAATATTGTGCATCACAAAACAGATAGCACTGATACGGATAACTTTAGCAGACCAATGGGCTTCTTGGTTGAGACCATATATGGCAACAACAAAAACACCACACTTTTACCTGGCAATGTCGTGGCATCTGCTCCAACTGCCCCTCTACAGATGAACTTTCTTGATTCTTTAACTGTCCATGCCAAAATGAGGTAAAATTCTGTCATATTGTTAAAATCTGGAGCATAAAATTAGTAATTTTCTTTTATACAGCTACTTTGCTCTGAATTTCCATTTGTTCTCTACTGACTGGTATTTTATAATGTCATTTTGTTTTTTTAGTTTGATACACAGTATTGTGACGCGAGTGATAAAACTGGCTAAAAATAAAGCATCAGCTGCACTAGCGCCATCTCTGGTGGAAACTTACAGTCGGCTGTTGGTGTATATGGAGATAGAGAGTCTTGGGATTAAAGGCTTTATAAGTAGGTTGATGCTAACTCTGATTTCACTGAGGTTGATATTTGTGAAGATGTATATAAGCTATGTTGTTGATGTAGAGCTTAACTCTTGTCACATTGACGTCCCCAGACCAGCTGCTGCCCACTGTTGTTGAGAACCAGGCTCTGGGCATCCTCCACACCCTGCTGGAGATGTTTTCATACAGGCTGCACCACACACAGATTAACTACCGCATCCAGCTCCTGGCACATTTACATCAGATGTCTAACAACCAACCAATCAACCAAAACCAGTTGTACATGTGGTATGATTTCATTAGCTCATTTTTTTAAAAAAAAGCAATTTTTACTTAATGGTAGAAGCTGTAAAAAAATGAAACAGTTCTTAATTATTAGTTACTATTTTAAAAGTTCAATTGTACAAAGTGTGATCATTTGGCCACTATATTAATTTTATTTGTTTTGGTATCCTTTCAAATGAAATTTAATTTTATAAAATTTAGCCATACATTTTTATTGCATTAAAATTTTTGACTCATTTCCTAACATGCTTTCTATTACAGTGTTGAGAGCACAATACTGAAGTTGATAATTGGACTAGGAAGCTCCGAGGTCCAGCCCCAACTGTCTAGGATCTCAAGTGAAGCCAAAGGCGGAGCCTCGTTTCTTGTCAGTGACTCAGAGGAGTTGAACAGAGCACTGGTCTTAACTATAGCCAGAGCCATGCATGTCACTGGTAGGTCTGAGGCTCAACACATTTTACCACAGAAACATGCCTTTAAAAATGGCATTGATATACTACATTACTATTGAACAGAGCACTGGTCTTAACTATAGCCAGAGCCATGCATGTCACTGGTAGGTCTGAGGCTCAACACATTTTACCACAGAAACATGCCTTTAAAAATGGCATTGATATACTACATTACTATTGAACAGAGCACTGGTCCTAACTATAGCCAGAGCCATGCATGTCACTGGTAGGTCGGAGGGTCAACACATTTTATCACAGAAACATGCCTTTAAAAATGGCATTGATATACTACATTACTGTTGTACAATCTTAGAAGTAGATTTCTTACATTGAGTGATTTATTCCGCAGCTGTGGATAACATGTCCAGCGTGTGGTGTGAGGACATATTGAATGTTATAATGCAGAAAACACCCATCAGCTGGTCCTCAAATACCCTGCAGTGTTTCCCACAGGTAAAACTTTTTACAGAATTCGCTTAAGTCTTTTTATAAGCTTGATATATTTATTTATTTTTAATTTAATAAAAATAATCTAAAAGTATTTATTGTTTTTAAATTATTCTTTTGAAATAAATTTCTAAAAATTTGATGAAAATTAAAAACTAAGGCGATCATCAAAAATGTAGATTAGTTTTTATGTTTTGGTTTATCGGTGTATCAAATTTAACATCCGTGTTAAGTTATGCCAAAATATTATTACAATCATACTTACATTTTTTCCAGAGTCTAGCTGAATACTTCCAAAAGAATAATGTCAGCAACAAGGATAATAAAAATCAACTCAGAACATCAGTGGAAAATGAATACAGAAAATGGAAAAGTAGGTTAATTAAATTGGTTTTTATTTTTATTTTAAAGAAACAAAATGATCTCTTAAATAATGAGCTAAAAAAACAATTTTTCAAGCTTCGAAAGTTTTGTATTTTCACCTAATACTTTTTTGTCATGGTTTATTAAATGTGTTCTGATAATAGGTATGGGAGGTAATGAGAGTGGTATAATTGCACACTTTTCAATGCAGAGTAATCCTCCACTCTTCTTGTGGTAAGTTTGATTTTTTTTAAATATACAGTATTTTTAATGTTTGTGTTGTATGGATTTAGAATATGTAAATTGTGTTTCGTTTTAACTGTTAGAAAATCAATGTATTCTTTGACATAAATTTCAGCATCATTTGGAAAAACATTCAAGATGAGAATAGGGTTCCATCTACAGCATTTAAGTATGTTGATGTTTTTTTCTGCTTTTTTCTATAAAGTAAATCTTTGTTTTATTGGACATTCTTTTTGAGTGATGTTTATAGTTAGTATATTTTAGAATTGCTACTTTACTTTATGAATTGTCTGACTATTTAATTTTACATTTATTATTTTGTCATGATTTAACTAGCAAATGTTAAATTGTCATTTCTGTATTTAGAGTATTAGACAGACTTGGACCTCGTGCTCTGACTGCACATCTCCGAACTTTTGCTGACTATTTGGTTTATGAAATAGCCTCTAGTCCTGTCATGCAAAATTCTTCAAAGGTTGGTCTCTCTTTACAAAATCTGTCCTAAAATCTTTTAAGATTTCTTCAACATGCTCTCTACAGTTTTTAAGCTTAAAACTTCAATAGCTTTCAGATATTTTCTTCTGTAACACCTATACCTAATTAAGTCATAGTCAGAATATCTTCAATAATTTCCTTTTTGCTATTGCACCCCATCCCTATACTACATCTAAATGTGATAAGCTTTTTTTTTCTGGGTTTTTTTTTGTTGTTGTTGTTTTCTGTGCATTGATCTCTATTTTTCTATGTTTTTGGTGTTGTTTTCTGTGCATTGATCTCTATTTTTCTGTTTTCTCCCCCTTGATTAGTGCATTGATGCTCTGACTGATATGATGTGGAAGTACAACATCATTACCATTGACAGGCTAGTGCTCTGCTTGGTAAGTTTTCAAAAAAACAATTTTATAGGTATATAGGTGTAAAATTTAAAAAAATAAATGTTAAGTACATGTTTTACAAATATTCAGTGTAACAGTGCTTAACAATTTAAAATTTCCTTAGGTTGATGTATTAATAACAATATTCTAATGTTTAAACAATTTTATGATTAGTTCCCTTCATTTTGCTTTCTTACTTTCTATTACTTGAAAAATTAAAATATCTTAATTAATGGTTAGTTCAGTTAGAGTTAGTTCAAGGGAAAAAAAGTAGATGTTAATAAATATTTCTACCATCATATATAGGTGAAAAAGGTAATGTCTTTCTCTGGTATTGATAAATTTTGATTAACGAAAACAATGTAACATTTACTATCTTTTACCGTTATTGGGTCCTCTACAGTTGAATTTAACTTAGGATTACATTTTTGCTGTTATAGTTCAATCTTAAAATAACCAACTGCTCTCTGTTCCTAAGTAATAAAAAACTAGAACCTTTTAATATAACATTTTGAAATTAAACAGTAACTTTGGAAGCAATATGATAGTGCATTTAGTGCCATTCACAATGAATCAGTGGCCCTAACTCTTTTGCTACTAATATTACCAACAGACTACTTCATAATTATGATTTTTGTTGTTTAAAAATCAAATTGCTTTTTAAAGATTACTTAAAACAAAATAAAAAGTGTAAAGTAACAATTTGTTTTAAATAAAAGTTTGTTATTTGGCATGCTTAAGCTATAATGCAGAATTTAGTTAACTAAAAATAATCAAATTTCTTGAAAGTATGGAATAAAAGTGTTATTTTTGAAAAATACTTTTCAAATTCATGCTCTTTAAATCATTGTACTCTTTTCTCTATATTTTTAGTAATTAGTGTTAAAGAATTATTAGATTTGAATTTATATTTATTTACATCATATGTTCAGTTTTTAGACATAATTTTAAAAATTGGGTTTTTGGAATAACAATTTTTTTTATTAATACTATAAACTATTTGATTTGAAGATGGCTTGGTAAAAAGTTAGCATAAAATATCTTTAAAGAACCTCTTGATTGTGTTGTTGCTAGGCCCTGAGATGTCTGGAAGGTAAAGAAGCTCAAGTACAATTTGTAGTCATCCAGTTCCTGCTCACTGCTAAACCAGATTTCAAGACTCGCATCCATGACTTCATCAGAGAGGTAAACACCCTTCCTAACCATTTTCTCTTAACCTGCTATTTGTTGTCTAGAAATGATATATGACATTAGGTACAATCTTATATACTTATTTTTTAAATTTTGACAAGATACATAATAGTTTGTAGTGCAGATATAAGCTTGTAATTTCTATCTAAAGAATACATCTGAGCACTGGTCCCAGTCCAACTGGCATGATATTCACATGAACTTCCACAAGGTATGTGAAATGTTGCTTAAAATAACATGACAGGTTACATTTATAAATTGCTAAAATAACCATTCATTGTTGTCATTTTTATTTATATTGAGCACTAAATTTTTCAAATGTTTTATTTTAGCTACTTATGTATGGTAATCTGTTTACATAGCTATATTTTAACAAACTGAGGCATTGAGCTAAACAAAAGCTTGTATTGAACAGAAATACCCAGAAAAGTTCTACTATGAAGGAACAGGTTCACAAGATCTAAACCCTATCCAACACCAGTATTTGCCTGTTTATTTTGGCAATGTTTGCCTTCGTTTTATTCCAGTGAGTTTTCACATTTTTTACCATCATACATACAATTAAAAACACTTTTTAAAATTCATTATTTAATGTTCATGCAATTTAACACAGACATTGGTCTAAGACTTTGTCCATCCTTCTCCTCAGGTTTTAGATCTGACGATTCATCGATTTCTTGAAGTTGCTCAGATGCAAAAATCTCTGGAAATGATTCTAGATCAAATTGGAGGGCTGTATAAATTTCATGGTATTTATATTTGCTTTTAGAACTTCAAATTGGAGGCTGTAAAAATGTAATCTTGAGCCAATCTTTAATTTAATAACATTAGTAAATATCTAGCTTGAGTTTTGGTACCCATTCCTACTAGTACAAGACAAATTTTTCATAGAGCAACTTTAAAACTTACTTATACAAATCAATTGTTTTTCCTAGATCATCCTATAACCTACCTCTACAATACAATTTTTTTTCCTAGATCATCCTATAGCCAGGGTTCGTACGCTGTCTGGAAAGTCTGGAAAAAGTCTTGAATTTAGAAAAGTGAATTTAAGACTTAAAAAAGTCTGGAAAATCGCTAGTTTTTGGGCTGGATTTTTTAAAAGTCTGGAAAAAGTCTGGAATCCAGTTTTAGAAACAAAACTTCGAAGTCCATATTTTCCAAGTTAAAAAATTGCTATTTTTAGGTGAAATTACTCCAATTTTTTCCCCGCGCTTTTGCGCGGGTTTACACTGTTGTGACTTTTTTCGCTGGTTTGCAGAAAAAAAAACGGATGCTCAGTTGCTACGTCATTGGAAGAGGAGGGGTAGGGAGGGAAGAGATATTTTGTGTTGCGACTGACCGTGTGAATGTGTTACAAGTATTTAAAATTAAATTTAATGAAAGAATGATCGCCTTCAGAATTGTTAGGCTCTCGATTTTACCCGCTATTTTTCATTTTTTAAGTTTTCACGCAGACAGTCATAACAAAAAAATTATGTGGGAGGTGTATGAATGGTAGTTTAGATATAATTTATTTGTCTCTGAGGGTCATCCGTTTATGACATCCACAAATTTTTCGGATTTTATCCCCTCCCCCTTCCACACGCGTTCACTTACTTTGGGTTAATATTAACATTTATAAGATTAATAGGTGATTAGGGTGATATAAATACAGTGTTTTGTTTACACGCTGGGATGGTTTTTAAAACACAAGCACAGATTTCAATGCTGACGATTAAAGCTAGACTACCCCGCCCCTTCTTGTAACTACGGTCACTTGTGTGAACTCACCGTGACCCCAAGTTTGTAGTTGGTACTGCTTGGTAAGGAGGGTGGGGGGTATAAGTCACATCTCAGTTCATGTTATGACGTATTAAACAGGCATACTGAAGCCTAGACTACTATGACTTCACAATGACCCCTTCACCGTGTCTTGTGGTTGTGGGGGGAGAGGGGGGGGAGGATACCGGCAATTTTTTTTTTTTATTGCAGACCCGTTCCTCAGCTATAAGTAGTATAAGTGTATAAGCATAATAAACAGTGAGTGATGTGGTTACAGCCTGCAGAATGTTTTTTTTTTTTTGCTCCAATTTTTTTTTTACAAGTAGCCTATATTAGGCTACTTAACAAGAGCAGGCCTAAATTAATACATTACGTTAGTATTCTTTAAAGTAATTAACTCTCACTATTATGCAATACCATTTTAATAATAGTTTAATTGAAAACATTAGCATTTTGATCATGAACAGATTACATAAGTCTAATGTTTAAAACAAAATAGCTGCATCATTTTAATCAATTATTTTAATTGTTAAAACTTTAGGTGGAGTTGAGTAGGCAAACTTAGAAAAGTGATTTTCTGTCAATTTGGCTAGAGAAAGTTCAATATAAATATATCTCAACTGCCTAAAATAAATGTCAATTTAGTACAAGTAATTATGAGAGTACAAATGGTGCATCATTTTATAAATTATTCGCGAACACATTATCTGTATAAAGTCTGGAATTTTTCCAAAAAAGTCTGGAATTTCATTGTGAAAAAGTAGTACGAACCCTGTATAGCCTACCTTTACAATTTGTTTGTTTTTCCCTAGATCATCCAATAACCTACCTGTACAATACTCTGTTCTACTATGAGAAAAGACTGGCTGATAAAACACATGTCAAAAGGAAATTAGTTAGCGCTATTATAGGTAGAGTTATTAGAATTTTCTAGAATAAATCTAGAAATTATTTTTTAATTGCATCTTAGATATTTAGTTATAATATTTTAAAATATTTCTTATCTTCATTGATGCATTCTGACTTAAATTGTAAATTATGACTTTACATTAGTAAACATGGTTAACTTGTGATTTAACAGTTCAATGTTTGGGGTTCATTTCCCATAGGTGCATTTAGTGACATCAGACCAGAGAACTGGTGCCTGTCTGATGATTACCTGCAGTACATGAAGAGGTCGCAGGATGAATCCCCCTGGACACCTGACCAGGACTACTACATTAAACTTATCAGCAGGTTAAGAAAGAGTATCCTTGTGCTGGTGACATCAACAGTTGCAAATTTGCTCATTTTAGTTTTTTTTATCAAACCCTTAATGTATACCTAATGTAAGAGTTAGAGATAACTTTTTAAAAATACAAGAACTAAAATTGATTTTAACTTTAAAGTGGACTGCACATCATCATAGGGGTAAATTTTAATTGTGTTTTTTTTTTGTTTTTACTTGCTGTTAAGAACTAGTTTTGTCTGATTAAAAGAGCATTTTTTAAAAACAGAGTTACTTCCCTTAACACTATAGCAATACTGGGTGAGCTCCCTCCCCCATACCCATCAGCTGACTGGAGATTCAATGAATTTCCCAATGCTGCAGCCCATGCTCTACATTCCATCTGTGTTGAGCTCATGGCACTTCCTGTTTCAGCCCAGACTGTGGGGGAGGCCATAATTGATGTGTCACTCAGACCGTAAGTACTTGCCTGGTTATTATAGAGGAATTGTTCCTACAATCCTAGTATTTGTATGGGCTGTGTGATGACTATAAGAGGCCATAATAGACGTGTCACTCAGACCGTAAGTACTTTCCTGGTTATTTATAGCGAAATTGTTCTTACAATCCTGGTATTTGTATGGGCTGTGTGATGACTATAATAATTTCCATTGTTTCCAGGTGCTCTCTGCTGCCACCACAGAAAGACATGATGTCATGGTACAATGCTGTTGGCCTGATTCTCACTGCCCTACCTGTAATTCTTTCAAATTTTCATAAACACCTGTATAACACCCAAAATTGATTTTAAAAAATGCGTATTTTATGAAGCTTTTCTTTTAATTTCTTCATATCAATTTTTTAAATCTATTGTAATTTATATAGATAAAAAACAAAACAAATAAAAACTTTAGATCAGAAAAATATATGTATATTAGAAAATGTTTAGCTAAAGTTAACTGACTTCTGTTACTACAGGAATCATACTGGAGTGTTCTCAATGAGCGGATACTGAAAGCTATTACCTCCCCTATGCTGGAGACCCCTGCAGCTCACCATAGTCCCTTTAAAATTTTCAACGTGAACCTGTCACATCTACAAAATGCTGAACATCAGTGCTCCACTGTGCTGGAACTGTGTCATGGTGTGTGGCACCATGCAGGCATCGGACAGTTGTCACATTTACCTCAGTGAGTGCAGTTGTATTTCATAATAATTTTATTTTATCCTAATACAGTTTTTTTTTTAAATATAATACGAAACTCCTCGCATTCAGAATACTTAAAAGTTATATTTTTGACAGACTCAAAATCACACATCTTTTGTTTTAGTTAATACTTTGCAATTTAAAGCATGCCTTTTTTATTTTCTTAATGCGTCTGCTTTTTCTCTTTTAGGCTGTCTACCAACTACTACTAGTCCAACTGTTTTTATTAAATAATTTTTTTCTCTCATTAGGTTTGTAAAAGAGAAATTAAAACCAGTCATAAAACATGAGAACCAGTTTATTTTCTTATGCCATTTGGTTGGCCCATTCCTCCAACGCTTCCATATGGAGAGGACACGCTGTTTATTAGAGGTTTGGTTTCTAAATTTTTCATGTCTGAGAGTCTGAAATTTTTAAAGTGCAGTAGAAGAGACAGTGCAAATATAGAGGTCATATTACAAGATTTACTGACGTTCTATATTCCCAAAAGTTTCATTATGTATTTTTGTGTCTGAACAGCTGACTGTAGAACTGTATGAGATTCTCCTGAATGTGGACAGTAAAAGTGAACATCTTTATCACATGGACGCCATCTGTGATTATCTGTATCCTTTGTCATGTGCACTTTCAATACTTAGATAATACGTGTTAATCACTTAGGTGTGATTGAAAAGAACCTGATATCGTAAATTATTTTAATCTGATAGATTATATAGAGAATGGTGATTTACAGATTATCTCTTTATAAGATCCCTACCTCAGGGTTTTGTGGGAATCACCATGCCCAGCCACCTTCAAAGTATTACCAAATGTGACTTTACTTTTAGTCGCATTTTTTAAGAAAATTAAATATATCCTGACAACAAAATGTCTGGACATATCACCAAGCTAAAATAATGTGTAGTATATCTGTTAATAGGCTATATCTTTAAGCTACGTTAAAAATGTATAGTATATCTGCTAACTGTATATATATTTAGGCTAGCTTTAAAATGTATAGTATTTCTGTTTAATGGTTATATATGTAAGCTAGCTTAAAAATGGATTGTAAAATCTGTTAATGGTTAAGTGTGTTGACAGTCTCAGCGAGATTATTTCTTAACCACCACCCTCAGTTATCACATCAAGTACATGTTTGTAGGGGATGGAGTGCGCAGTGATGTGGAGAAAGTCATCTGTAAGTTGAGACCCGCCCTCAAACTCAGACTTCGCTTTATCTCACACCTCAACATGGAGGAAACTACAGCTGTTGTTCCCACCACCTCAACTCCTATCAGTGCCCCAACACAGTAGATTTCTTACTGCTTCAACTACCAACACTGTCCCAGCACAGTACATTTTTTACTACTGTAACTACTAGCAGTGCCCGAAGACAGAAGATTTCTTACTGCTTTGACTACTTGTGTCCTTACACTATTTTGCTGGCATTTACAGGCTTGGGAATTTTCTCCTGTTCCTTAGTATGAAAAAAACATAGATCTAGCGTTGTTATTAGCATAAAATTTCGTATTTGTTGTTACACCGCTTCATATGTTGTAAGCAAAGTAAATAATAATGTAATAATATCAAAATTTTTATCTGCTTTGTCTCTGTTTTCTGTGTTGTTGTTGTACAAAATTTTGTATTTTACAATTTATAAAATGTTTATATTAACTTTATATAGTATGATTTTATTATGGTTAGTTATTCATGGTAAAATATTACTTTTTATTGATGAGTAGGTTTTTAATTATTTTGTAATAATTTGAGCAACTTTGTTTGGTCAATGTTCTTCTTTATTTGATGTGGAAATTGTCAGGGGGTGTTGTGATCTCATCTTTTTTTACCATTAAAATTGTGTAGCAAAAATACCATCACACCATCACCCCTGGGTATATTAATTATGATATGAATGAAAATAAAATGTGTTCTACTGCATCATGTTTTTATTACTATGTATTCGTTTTATTTAAAATGAATTCCCCCCCCCACTAAAATGTCACACCTCAGCCTACAACCCCCCCCCCCCCCCCACTCAAAATTGCAGTTGATTTTTTCTTAAAAGATTGATAGTTTTCCAAAATCTTGTCTGAACTCTGTCAACAGAGTATTTTAATTAATTCCTATTACAATTTATAACAACAGTTTTCTAAAACGCAAAATAACGTCTAAAACTCATTTTCTAACATTGCGTTTTTATAATGCAAAAAAATGTGACATCACACCATCTGAACCCCCCCTCCCCATCATAACACATCGTCACAAAATTACGGAACCCCCTACGAGGGTGACGTCACTTATGGACGACCTCCTTTTGCCATTTTATAGTTTAAAGTACATTACTAATAAATCATTTACATGCACATCATTTACATGCAGCAGTTTGTGTTCATTTTGAGTAAACTGTTTTGATGAAGCAAGCATTGCTTTTTGGAACTAGCACTAAAAACCAAGTTGTTTCACTAATGCATATGAATTCTGTTGCAGAGATGTCTAGTAGCTGAAGTCATGTTTGGATTCTGAACGTGATTATGTCATTATGACAGTTTCTGTACGCTTTCTCTAGATCTCAAGAAGTCATCTACATTCACATTATCCAATGGAATTAAGTTTACATTTTAAACCAAAATATACTTTAGATCTGCATTGAAGCAGAATTTTAAAATATCGAGATCTAGATTCTATTTCACTAGTTACCTATTTATAACAGAACGTAAAACTGAAGTCATGCGCTTAGAAAGCGCGATGAAAAGGGAAACACATTTAATCAAGGGCAGATAAAATACGTCTACTTCGTTTGACTGTTAGGCCTAGTTTAAAGCTAAATTATATTAATGCTTGTCGTTGTAAACAAATTATTCTTAGGTCTAGATTCTAGATCAAGAATCTACATAAACCAGGAATGAAAATGTAGCGTTCTCGCCAAAGCAGAAACAATCAATGTATTGTATTGTACGTAGAATGCTAGTCCTGGCCTACACAAGTAACTCCTGCTTTCACGCTTGCCTTAGCCAGCTAGCTTCATATTCATAAAGCCGCTGCGGCTAGGCCGCTTAGTTACTGGCTTAGACTAGAGCCCTAGACTAGACGCTAGAGGCCTAGAGGGTTAGGGCTTAAGACGGCTTAAGTTTAATTAATAATTAATAATAGTTTATTAGTTACTAAGTTAGGCTTAGCCTACCACTGTGTTACCACTACTGTACTACACAGTAGATTAGTAGATCTACAAGTAGGCTTTTTGATGAGAATTACAGAATGATTTTTTTTATTAAAAATGTATCAATAATAGCTAGAACACTAGTAAACTAAACTAATTTAGCATATTTTAACTTTCTGTGCAAAGTCATTATTACTGAAAAAAATTCCAAAGTCAGGTCAGCCTGTGGCACCCTCCACTGAACGTGACAGAAGGAAAAAAAAACTTCACCCGTGACCTTCATTAAAACAGAATTTGCTTTTTTATTTTTTTTATTTTTGGTAAACATGTGCTTAATCTTACCCAATAAGTGATAAAAATTTGAAAATTAATTTTAATTACAGTTGTAAAGTAAGATAAACAGCTTAATAAACACATGCTTTCTTGAGGGGGTGTGGCCCGGGTGTGGCACATCGCAATTATAACTTTATATTTCTGTGTTTTATGACTATATTTGTTTACAATCAGCATGCTATGTTTTTAAAATTGATAAAGGGTAAGTATACCAAGTTACAAAATCTGCAATCTAACTAATAATTCATACTTTCAATTTAAAAAATAATAAAAACGATCATCAACGAAGAAAGCGTAAACATTCTATTTTTAGGTGTGACATAAAAAACAGTCATAAATCTAGCCAAATGATTGGATTCTTACGCGGCACACATTTTCCCGCGCCTCGTTTTCACCAAACAAGAATATAATAAAATGGCATTATTACTTACAGCATGAAAAGCATTGTTGTCAGCCTAATTATATTAAACAATTCTATTTTTATTTGATAGTAAAGATGTTATAAAAATTGGGTCTAATAAAAAAGTTATTGGATAACGCACCTGCTTTAGTTTATTCGACTTGAAACGCAAGCTAAGTAAGCGTGACTTTCTCTCGACGGCCTCGTTAAATACAAATAAAGAAATTAGGTCAAAAGTACATCTGGGAATTCTTAAATAACAGACTGAAATAGAAACGGATAGTTCCGATGTCTAAAATTAACGATGGCCTCGTTATTATTAGTTTTATCCCTCTACCGTTTAGTGAAAGCGAAACTGGTCGCCATTTTTGGTAAGCGCATGAGCCATGAGATGGCTTCAAAACAACAAACCCGGAAGCTGTGAATCGAACGGCCTACTACAAGTTACCAGAATTTTTTTTTTCACTAATTTTTTTATTAGAATCTTCTAGATATCTAGATCTAGGCCTATATCTTTTTGATTTAAACCCCACGCCCACACATTTGATTTTAATAATTTTATATAAAAATTAATCGTAATAATTGAATACCCTACACCACTCCTACACTCCACCAATATAATTTTTTTAATTAGGCCTACATGTATTTTATAGGCCGCATATTAAGTCATTTGTCATTTATGTATTGAAGAAAGATAATTATTTATTTTTTACTTAGATTTAAAAATTTAAAGAAGAAAAAATAAAGAGTTGATTTTTTAGGGGGGGGGGGGGGGGGGGGTAAAAATTAAAATTTGCTTCTATCAGGAAAATTAATGATAAGAATCACTTTTCGTGAGTACTTATTCATAGAAAACAAAAGTATGTCCATTTTTTTTTTATGATATTTAGTATCGACCTTTGTATCTCTGGCAGAACGAGCCCCCGGTGTGGCCTCAACCTTTAGAGTGCCTTGTAGAATTTTTCTCTTTTCTTGCCTCGCCCCCACCCACTCCCCCACAACCTCACACCCCCCTACAACTAGTTGGTTGGCTTGTTCTTGTTGCATTAAGTTTCAAATAAACTCTCATTTCATGTACAAAATATGAATTCAAATTGATTCAGTTTTTTATTTATAAAACTGTTTAAATACTGGCATCTCAATTATTGCTGGTATAAATCAATTGGGTCAAGTATAGATTTGCACCCAGTTGTAGTAGAATTAAGGTAATAATCAAATCCTTATCATAGCATATGTTAATGTGGGTGCAGAAAATTCCATAACTACTCTGAAAATAACTTGAATAAGACTACAACCTGAACAGTTTATAATAGATGACATATATTGAAATTTGAGCTAGACCAATGATTAGTTAAAATGCAGCCCCGTATTAGCAAAAAGATAGTGGACTACTTATGGAAAGGAATGACTGATATTTTACTTATAAATTCTATAATTACGTCTTTTGAATTATTTATTTTATTAGTCCATGTTTTTAAAAAGTTAGGATTTTTAAAAGCTTATATTCATTTCAGATGCTGAAGCAGTAACCCAAGTATTTTGAGGCAAGGAGGAACATCATCAACTTTGTTAACTGAGAAGAATATCAGTTTTATCAGCTTTGTAACATAAAAACAATGTTGATTTAAAATACAAGCTTTAATAAATAAATCAAAATAAAGAGAAGTAACATTAACAGTTATGATATTCAGACCTTCATTTATAAAGAGTCAAAATATATTAGGCCTATCTGTTATAAAAATGAAGCATTACATGTTAACATCTGAGAAGCTCTGATATACATTTCTGTAAAAAAAAAAAAGGTAAGCTCAACTAATTCTAATTACAGTATTCATCTACTTTATTTAAAAATTTAAGTTCCTTTTTCAGGCCTAGCAATCCATAGGGCAGATGAAGTTGAGTTCATATACTGATTCAGGTTACCTTAAAAAAAAATTACGTGATAACAACTCATAAATAGATATTGTTATTAATGCCCATCTGAAATTGGCCATTCCATAAAGAATTAAAAAGGGGTTACTATGGGCCATGGTTAACCTTAATCCAGGAATCACCAAGTACTATTTTCTTTTTTTTTTTTTTTTTTGATATATAAATTTTGTAATTGAACTAATAAAAACTTTGGTCAAAAGTAAATATTAAATCTCTAAAATAATTGTTATAGGCCTACTTAATTTTTTTGAATTTTTAAAAAATTATTAAATGCAACTGAATAATTGGTTTCATTTTCTAAAATAATTTTTACAGTACTTAAAAACAATTTTTAAAAAGTTCTATCTACTTACATGAAGTGGATGCAAGATAATAATTTAAACAGTAATTACATATGATCTTTCATATTAACATAATTCTGGTCGTTCTACTATTAATTAATAATTCTAATTGTATCCTCCAGTCTGTTGATGTTGCAAACCTAAGCACAGCCATCCGGTATAATTTGATAGGTTGTTGCTCCAGTTTAAAAGAGAAATGTTAACCATAATAGAAGGCTCAGTCAGAGATTGTCCTGAATTGAGCAGCAAGTGAGTTAAAAACTTAGTCCAGATGTGTAGTGATGTGTTTGTGCTGCTATGTACTGAGTAGAAAGTTAATTAAACATTAAACTGTCCAGATTTTTTTGTTCTGTCTTATACTGAGGAGAAAGTTAGTTAAAAATTAAATTGTTCACACATTTAGTGATTTGCTTGTGCTGTCCTAAATTGAGCAGCAAGTTAGTTAAAAAATTGAACAACCCCTTGTTTATTGATTTATCTGCCTACAAGTGTGTGTACCATGAAGCAGGTATTTATTTAAGCAAAGAAAAAAAATAGATGTGTTGACTCCTGTTGTTTAAACTACACATAACAATGCTAAGAAAAAAATAGGAAAGAAATTGATAATCTTTTTTTTCCCTATAGGGGTAGCATATGTGGAGAAATCATCTTAAATGACCTGTATTAAACCCTCTGGGAACGTTGCTTGTACAAAATATCTATCATAAAAGAATAAAGACACAATTCTGGTAAGTAAATCAGAGAAAGAATAGATAGTGTTTCTGTGTTTTGTGTTAATTGTATATGTATGCTTTGAATTGACAGGATGAAAACTTTTGTGGCAGCTACGTTTAAAATAAAGTTAAGAATTTTCAAATCTGCTTACAAACAAGATATGTAAAGCCAAAATGGTTGCTTCAGGCATCTTGGACATACAAATTTGCTTTGTGCTATGTCGAAAAATCAGCACTGTTTTACCCCAGTTAACATGATTATCTTTTATGTACTTGCTTCCAATTATATAAGACAATTGGACCCTTATTCTATTTTACTTTTTTAAGAAAACATGACTTCCAGTAATCGTGAAGAATGTACTAATTAAAATTTATATTTTTAAATTAATTATTTCTGAATTAAAATATTCCTATTTCTTTCAGCAGAAAATGTTTCCAGGGCAAAGAAAGGTATTTCAGCACACCAACCTCAGGAGAAACCGAACAACAAAAATCATAAATTTTTACATTCTTATTGTAATCATTCTTGTGATAGGCCTTTTTCTGACAGCATTAAACTTCCATGAGCTCCATAATATAAGGCAAGAACATCACTTCAACATCAAGCAAAGAATGTCTTCATTAACATTTGAGGCAGCTAAGCCTATTGTATGGATCAGAGAGAAGCCTAATACTAAAAGTAATGGCCCAGAAGGATACTTGAAGCACATCTACCACATGTTTGAAAAACTGGGCTTCCAGTTTGGTGGACAGTGGTCAGAATGGGTGGTTTTGTGGAGCCATGATTATCCATTCTCTTCATCCCAGCAAGATGTCTTACAAAATCTGTCGCCCTTTCAGAAAGTAAACCACTTTCCAGGTTCTGGCCATATCACCAGTAAAGTCAACTTGGCACAAACAGATCTGGATTTCATTCCCAAAGCTTTTGAGATGCCTATCAGAAAACGGCAGTTTTTAGAATTTGCTTCAAGATATACAAATTTTAGCTGGATTCAGAAACATAGTCAACACAGGGGCATTGAGGTGAAGCCGTTTGAAAAGTTAGAATTGTACAAAGCAAATATATTTATCCAGGAATATATATCTAACCCATTTCTCATTGATGGTAGAAAGTTTGACATTGGAATATATACTGTTCTCACATCCATTGATCCGTTAAGAGTTTATTTTATTGATGGAGAAGCTTTGTTTCGATTTTGCCCTGAGGTATATTATCCATTTAATAGCTCAAATCTAGATAAGTATGTGATTAGGAACCTCTACAAACCCTTGTGGGAAATGCCCTCTTTATCAGACCTGTATGTGAATCATGGCTACACATTTAAGAATTCTTTTGATCAGCACCTAGTCAATGTTGGTAAAGACCCAAACTTAATCTGGGAAAAAATCAAATCAGCAATAAGAGACGTTATTCTAATGAAAGAACCTGAGATCATTAAAGCTGTTGAGAAATACAATTCCAAGCGAAATTTTTTTGAACTGGTACGTTTTGATTTCATCCTAGATGAAAACCTGAGAATTTATATGATGGAAGCCAACATGTCGCCCAACTTATCCTCTGATCACTTTCCTGGTAATGCTCGTCTTTACGAACACGTACTCTTTAACCTGCTTGGTCTTGTTGGGATAGAATATTACACATCAGAACAAAACCATCTGGCTCACGAGAACACAATGTATGTCACCTCACAGGACACCCAAGTTTTCCCAGAGTACTGTCAGGCCGAGATGTGTAACGCCAACTGTCAGCCACTTGTCTGTAAGCTCTGCAAACATTGTATAACTGGAGAGCTTCAAATTGATATTAAGTCTGCTTACTTAGAACACTTACATAGGGGCACAGCTAGAAGAATATTTCCTCCATCCATATTGCCAGTTGATGCTTTGTCATGGAAACCAGACTTTCCTTTGCCATTGGGGGACAAGCTGAATTTAAAAAACCGGCTTATGTACATTTGGTTTCTGGGCAAATGTCGGCTGGACCCTGGATGGTGTCATTAAATTTTTGTTAAATCAGATTTGTTTTGATTGTTTATAACTTATATTCAACCAATTAACTAGCATTTTTAATAGTTGTGTTCATAAAGTTGGATTTTCATATTACTCATGATGAACATTTTAGTTCAATGAAGTTTACTTCCCAGTTCTTTCACAATCATTTTAAACTGATATTATTCTGTTTTTTATTAAAAACTGTTTGTTAATACATATTTGGTTTAGTTTGTGCTTTGGCTGAATGTCTTCTACTAGTAGAATGGAAAATGTAATTCAGATTGCTGAATTACAATGGGGAATATAAAATAATATGACAGTGAAGATTGTTTTTAGTGATGTTAATTTAAATTAAGTAAGCTAACATGGCACTACGCCCCCACATACAGTTACTTGTAGAAGTGTCAGCTGATTGTTTTATGTTACTTTCCTTTTTTCAAATTTGGATCTATTAATTTATTTTTGGTTTGACTCAGAGCCTGTTGTTTTTCTATGATTAGATTGTTTCATTATCGACAGTTTTTATTTTGTTTTTTATTAATTCAATCACTTTTTAAATTTATCATAAGTACCATTTTAATTTGAACTATCGGTCATTATAATATCAAACTGTTCAGTAAAAACAGTTTTTTCATCAATTAGCTAGCTTACATAACAATGAAACAGCACAGCATATTATCTCATATTAATATTTTAGTTAAACAGCCCAACCATGATAATGAAATAAAATAAACACTTGTTTTCAAATTTAACATGATGTTGAACATGATCATGCTTGATGAATCTACAAAATTGTTCTTCACTACTGTCACCCTAATGTTTGTAAATTTAACACACTTTGAATAAGTCTACACCAATGTTTTTTTTTTAATTATATAGGGCCTAAGCAATTTAAAAAATAAATTTCAATAGTAATAGTAGGCTTATTAATTATTATAATTAACTAAGGCGTCACACGCCAGAGTCGGTCTTTTGGCGAAGTCGGGTGGCGATAAAAAATATAAATTATTTGCCACAAAAAAAAAACGACTAGATCTAGATCTATATTTACTATTTTTGACAAACTCAAAACTACTTTTAGACCTAAGTCCAAATATTATTAATTCATCTTTAAGTAAAGTATGTGGATTGTGAAACGAGCAGATCTAACTTTGACGGGTTGCAGTTAGATCTATGATTAAGATTACTGATCTCGTTTGCGCGCTACAGCATGAGAAACGTCGGAATTCTTTCCATTGATTTGATGTAGGGCGTAGGGTAGTCTGTAGCAGTGTTGTGGTAATGGCGGCTGAAACAACAGAAGAATGGGAGGTTAGTGTGAAGATTTGTTGACTTAGGATAGAAATCTAGATCTAGAATCTATATTTTATTCTATATGAATGTCATTTTTTATGTCGCCATTACCACGTGAAAACCGAATTGCTTTTGCCTTTTTTTTAATTGTGTTTAATTACCGAAAATACTAAACTAAAATACTACAAACTACAAAGATTCTAGTGGCAAAGACAGTCTACGACTCTACTTACTACAATACTACTAGATTCTAGTACTAGTCACTCTACGTACGACGTCCGAGTCTGTCTAGAGTCTAGTCAAGATTTCTAGATACTAGATTGAATAGATTCTAATTCTAGAATCTAATTCTAGATCTAGTCTACACAGTCTACTACAGTCTACACCTACACTAAACACTTTAACTTAACTTACTTGACTTACTAGATTCTAGTACTAGATCTAGTACTAGATCTAGATCTTAGTTACTAGATCCACAATACTAAACTACATTCTACATCTTACATCGGGATAGTCATCATCATATGACATATTCATATGCCAATAACTGCAGGCAATATTTTTAGAATGTTAATATCTAGGGATGATATTTCGAGTCGTCCCTTTGAATCCCGGTCAGAACGTCCCCCCGTCGTGGCCTTAACCAACCGGCGTGCTTGTTGCATTGGGTTAAATATAAATGCAAAACAATAATATAAACAATCTCCTTTTAGGTCGGTCAGGCCACATACCAGGCACGCACAGTGTTGTGTGTCATGCCTTAACCAAAATAAACAATCTCCCTTCGTTATCATTAGATATATTTAATTAGTTAATTAATAATTATTAAATATTAACATATATAGATATCTAGACTCTAAGTAAAGTATAGTCTTTCAATCTGGTATATGCGTTATTAAAAATTTGGGCATCCCTGAATCTGCTGCGATAAAGTACCTGACTGGAAAAACAAAGGGTGCTGGGCATAGTACACAGTACTAATCACAATATCCCCCCTATGCAGAGGTAATTGAAACAGATGAGCTCTACTTCATCTGCGCCATGTGTCTTGGAGACTAAAGGGAAAAGATGATAAGGATAAAAAAAAGGATACAAATGCTTGACCTGTTTTATGTACCCAATTTTTATAAGGCAATACAGATTAAATTAATATATTGGGTTGATGATTTCTTTTTTGTTTAGGAAATGACAGTGATGATGGAGTTACCTGATTTAGACAGTAGAAAACAAAGTGAATCACACATTCAAATTCTGGTAAAGTATTTTCCAGATTATGTCTAAACTCCAGTTTTTTTTTTCACAGATTTTTCTTGTATTTGGTAGATTTATTACTTTACCAAGAAAAAAAACGGGGGTGATCTCCCCTAAACTTTCTTATATAACACTACGGTGGGATGTCAATTCGGGATAAAGACATGATTTTTAATCTATTTTTAATTACTTAGAAGTTTTACAATAGAATAGAATCTCGTTGAAAAAAGAATTAAGCACCAAGTGAACGGCAAACAATCTGTGTATAATAGTGCAGAATATTATTAGTTATTTATAAATTCACATGCGTTTTTTTGAGAAATCGGAAATAGCGTAAATTACTTCTTGCGGTCAACGGAAATTACTCAAAATTTGAAAGAAGACACAGAATTAGATCTTCGGAAAAGTTGATACAGAACAACAAATTTCATATAATACTTGTATATGAAATTTCATCAACCTTGCTTTAACGGTACTAAAGTTATTGTGTTTATGGACAGAATTGCAAAGCCCAGTTTTTCTGACTTGGTTACGCATAGAACGTTGAAATTTTGATAAACCTGTATTTATTATCATTTGCCCGATTAAAATAAGTCCCCTATACTCCATATATGATGAAGTACTGAGGTGTAAAATGATGAAAACTGTCAAAATTTCATGTGATTTGTGTGCACGATTACAATACTTCCTCTATACTCTGTATGCGAGAAAGTAAAAAAATAGAAGTTTATTTTTACTAAATCCTCACTAAAAAGCTTTAGAAAATGTGTATACTCGCTACTTAATAAGAATGATAACAATTTTAAAGTGAGCACTAAATTTAAATTGAAGATATTTATAATTACATGATAAACATTTGTGATTTCTTTTTAAATTAACTATTAAACAGTTGTTTTTATTTTTAGGGTTTGGCTACAGAAAAGCCATTAATAAAGATCAATAACCAGTTGTTTACAGCACAGCTCCATAACACACTTGGTTCTCATCTCCTTCTTGAAGTGGAGAACAACTCTGGTATGGTAATTACTTGTTCATTCCAGCATAAAAAATAGTCGTTGTCTTTTCATTGTTACATTTATTTTCATCATTTGTTATATCTCAATATAATTTGGCTGAAAGCACATTTTTTACTTTTGCCTATACATTGTAATAACCTTTAACTGAACTGGCAGTTGCAATAATTTTGTTTTTAATTCTTCACTTCTCACACAGATGTTAAAACACAGAAAACTCAGAAGAAAGTTATAACAAATATGATGGTCACAGATAAAACGTTTAAACTGGAGCCAGTGTACCTTGAGAAAAAATCTGGTAAGCTTCATCTTTAAATCTTTCATTAGTATGAAAAAAAACCACATTAATAAGCTGAGAGGAAGAAATAAGTTTTTCAACTTAAAATTACTCATTTAATGCAATATTTTAACCAACAGCTTGTTTTCATGTGAAGCAAAATGTTAAAATTTACTTTTAAAAACTTTCTTATTCTGACATTGGTGGTTGGAAGTCAAAACTTCTCGAACCTTTGAACTTTTTAATATATTTTTTAGTTTGTTTTTAAAAATTGTTCTTTTTCAATATCAGATCAAAAAGACGTGTATGGCTTCGGAAAAAAACATCAGCAATCAATGGGAAAAAGTGATAGCTCTTGATGTTCAAGCATGGACTCTGACACTCTACTCATCCTGTCCTAGGAAACTACCACTGAGGCTCAGGAGCTGCTCTGATAAATCTCAGTGTTGATAGAAAGCAGTAACTGTATGGCAGTACAAAGAGCCACTGAAGATAAGAATGAGGAAACGTTTTGTTATTGATATCATGCTTTTTTGTACAGAAAAGATGTTCACTACAGTTGTGACTTGGAAATAAATGATGAAGTTTCTTCGGTCTGTCTTAATTTTATTATTTTATTGTTATTGACTTCATATGTTCTACTTAGCATAGTGGTTTGGTTAGTAGTCTTAATTGTTGGTGTGTGTGTTCTAGTTAGTATTTGATGAAGACTTTTTCTTTGTTCTTAATTGTAATATTAAAGGGGATTTCTTCCAACACAATTAAGTATTATGTGTTAACATGGCCAGCAGGCCTGCTTGCTTCTGGATTTGCTTCTATAGCCTTTGTCCACCCAAGAACAATCTGCAAGGTAGCTGTATGATTTTGGAGTTTTATCACCTTGATGAGTTGCTGTCCCCAGCAGTGTTTCTTCCAGACTTTTTTTCTCCGGGTGGGGCGGTAGACTTTCTTTGTGGGGAAGAAACTCTGGTCCCCAGCCAACAAGCCTCATTTGTCTGGATGGGGGATGTCCTAATTTATTCCTTTTGGTGCTCTTTGATCTGTAGACTGATAGCATTGCTATAATTGTGGCTTCAGTGAGATGCGTGCACCAAACATCCTTCACAATTATTTAATTCAACAGCTAGGTTGGTAGATGTTTACTTTTTTAAAAGAAGTTTCCTCCAGACAAATTACCTTTGCAACAGGAGTGTAAAAATTAATTATTTTATTTATAATAAATGTAGTGTAGATAGTAAAGCATATAATAATGTGTTGTATAGCAATCTCATACACTGCCAACTGAATATAACAATAACATGTAACCCAGTGTTTCTTTCAGACATGTTTTTTCTCCTATTCCGGGGGGGGGGGGGGGTCGACGCTTGTTAAAGTATATATTTTGTATATTAATTCTATTTCATTTGGGGTGGGGGCGCAACAACAAAAAAATCACACTTTTCTACATTATGTTTAAACTGTAATTTATCTAAACTCTGAAAAGAAAATAACCAGTACAAACTAAGTAAATGTACTTCAAACGTTAGGTGCAATACAACTTATTGATTCTAGGTGTTGAAGCCCTAGTGGCCTATACAGCATATTGATTACTGCTTCCTTGAAACCCAAACTGGGTCGATACCCAATAATGATTGCTTAGTGATCAATAGATGAGTGATGTTCAAGGAATTTAACATTACATTACTTATGTCTGGAAACCTGTGTCGTACTACCTAGAATATTTAGTCATTGTAGAAAATATCAATGACGACAGTTGAAATACGAACATACAACATAGATCACGTAATAAAATGCGCCAGAGCAACATAACACGAACTGGTATCGTGATGTTTCTATATCGTGGAACCATTAAAGTCACGAATCGAATCAATGCCACCTATACAGGCGCGCGTTGATCGTATGGTCCTATATATATATATATATACGTGCTGTGACAAACATAGTTGTATTTATATCGTAGCCAACTGGTGACTGTCGTGATGGTGCGTCGTGTGATTTCTTTCTTAATACTTAATCCTTTCGAACTATGACAAGCAAAAAAAAAAAAAGGCTGGACGAATAATAAGTAGCCTAACAATATGGATTCACATGTATATCGAGACTTGATGAGTGTCAGTGTCCTGTGTGATTTGCCATGCCACGTTTAGCAATTCTAGCACCGGCAAAACTTAGAGAACACTTCCTTAAGCTGCATGGAGATGGAAAATTCAAGAGCACGACGCTCGCGGAATTCAATATGATGCCGCGCATTTCTGAACTGGTGACGTCACGTTTTTTTGGACGATTTCCACATCCCCATCGCCTCCGTCAAACATCTTCACAAAAAAGTCAGACCCCTCCCCCCCTAAAATGGCGTTACACCTCGGCCTTTGAGGTCGTCCATAAATGACGTCACACTCGTAGGGGGGGGGGTCCGTAATTTTGTTACGGTGAGTGATGAGGAGGAGTGGCGTGGGGGTTTCAGATGGTGCGACGTTACGCTTTCGCATTATTAAAAAGCAATGTTAGAAAACGAATTTTAGACGTTATTTCGCGTTTTAGAAAGCTATTTTAACAAATTGCAATAGGAATTGATTAAAATACTCTACTTTGATAGAGTTCAGACAAGATTTTGGAAAAACATCGATTTTTTTAAGAAAAAATCAACTGGAATTTTGAAGGGGGTTGTAGGCTGAGGTGTGACGTCATTTTAGGGGGGGGTCTGGCTTTTTGTGACGATGTGTGACGGAGGGGAAGGGGGGAGGTAAAAATCGTTCAAAAAAGCGTGACGTCATTTATGGATGACCCCTTTAACCCCCTTTGGAAAAAATATCGTATTTTAAGAAAAATTCAACAACAATTTTGAGGGGAAGGGGGGGGGGGGGGGTTGTAGACTGAGGTATTACGTCATTTTAGGAAGGAGGGGGTGGGGTCTGGCTTTTTGTGACGATATGGAACGGAGGGAAGGGAGGGAGGTAAAAATCGTTTTAAAAAAGCGTGAAGTTATTTGTAATAGATTGAAATAATTGTGAGGTCAAGGGAACTCACTCTTCTGTATTAGTTATATTTATAATATTGTTATCTTGAGTGATGTCCCTTGTCTACTTCCTCCCGTCCTCTCTGTGTGTTACCATCGTGGTAGTTAGACCCAATTAAACGTGTTATATACAACCACAGGCTTCTGTCGTCAAAATATTATAACTGGCGACGAAGGATAAACATCTACTAGAAAGAGCACCTACTTACGCAAAAAAGAGGTTTGCTAGAGCTTATTAGCTAATTATTTCTAGAATTATGGCGCTGTATGGCCAAATAAAAGAATTTGATGCGAATGATGAAATCATTCAAGATTACCTAGAGAGGTTAAGCTTTTACCTTAAAGCTAACGACGTGACGATAGAAGCCAAAAAGAGAGCTGTTTTGTTAACAGTCATAGGGCCTCAACAATTTAGGCTACTAAAAGACTTATGCGCACCAGCTAGTCTAATTACCAAGAGCTTTAACGAGCTGAGCAAATTGCTAACAGACCACCATGCGCCTACCCCATCAAAGTTTCTATGTCGAGCTAGATTTGACAGTAGGACTCGTCAACCAAACGAGTCAATATCAGAATATGTTGCTGCTTTACGTCATTTAAGTAGATTCTGTGAATTTGGAGAAACGCTGTCTGACAGATTATGTGAAAAGTTTGTGACAGGTGTAAACAGCCCTGATATTCAAAGAAAGTTGCTGCTCGAGTCAGATCTAACATTAGAAAAAGCAATACAACTTGCAACTTCAATCCAGCAGTCATCAGATGCGGCGAAATCTCTAACGCCTTCAGGGATCCATGCAGTAAACAGCAGGTTAGTCAATAAACATCAACCCCATCAGAGCATTCCAACTTATGCTAAACAGCCTGCTCGTTCAAATCCTAGATTTAAATCTAGTAATAATTATCAAAAATGTCATCGATGCAAAGGTCCCCATGCATCTCATCGGTGCAAGTTCAAGTCTGCAACTTGTTATAAGTGCGGTAAGCAAGGTCACATTGCTAAGGCCTGCTTTGCAAAGTCTTCGTCTGTTGCTAAATCTAGCCAGTCAAGACAGTACCGCAACCAAAGGCAGCATTATGTTAACTCTCACCAAGACTACCTAACCCAACCAATGAACCACTCTACCTGTGAAAATGCTCAAATTGATTTGCAGCCGGATTTCAACCTGTTCTCTGTTAAATCAATAAGTCATGCTCCCATCAATGTACCAGTTTATATCAACGGTAAGAGCATCAGCTTCCAACTTGACACTGGAGCATCTCTAACAGTCATAACAAAGAAAGATTTTGACGCTGTCACAGAAGGATCAGTGTCTCTACAGCCGTGTCACAAGTGTCTAACAACATACACTGGTGACAATGTTCAGGTAATAGGAGAGTGTATGGTTCATGTAAGTTATAATGGTCAAAGTGTTAAACTTCCTCTTCTTGTGGTTGAAGGAAATGGACCGCCATTACTAGGTAGGAACTGGTTAAGTGATCTTAAGTTAAATTGGGAGAGTATTTGTTCATTGAAGAATGTAAAAGAATCTAGTCTTACTTCACTAGATAAAGTAATATCTGAAAATAAAAGTGTTTTTGGTAACTCTGGATTACTAAATGATAGAACAGTGAAGTTAAGCATTAAAGATACAAATCCAAGATACTGCAAAGCTAGAGTTCCACCTTATGCAATGAGGAATAAAATTGAAAATGAGCTAAGTAGATTGGAATCTAATGGCATTATAAAGAAGGTAGACTATTCCGATTGGGCGACACCCATTGTGCCAGTGTTAAAGAAGGATGGTTCTATAAGAATTTGTGGAGATTATAAAACTACACTGAATAAGCAAATAGAGCTAAATAGGTACCCTATTCCTAACATTGAGGAAATTTCTTTGAATTTGGCAGGAGGAGACAAATTCACTGAATTAGACTTTAGTCATGCTTACACTCAACTAGAACTGCATCCAGATTCAAAAGTCTATACGACAATAAACACACATAAAGGACTCTACCAATATGAAAGACTATGTTTTGGCATATCATCTAGCCCTGGAATTTTCCAAGCTGTCATGGACAGTATTTTTAAGGACATTCCAAATGTTTGTGTGTACTTTGACAATGTGTACATAACTGGTAAGAATGACACTGAACATCTTAAAACACTTGATAAAGTCTTGAAAATTGTTGGTGAAAAAGGTTTAAAGATAAACAAAGATAAATGTCAATTCATGTTGACAGAAATTAGTTTTCTTGGTTATATATTGAGCAAGCAAGGCATCAGACCTCAACCTGAGAAAACAAAAGCCATTAAAGAAGCACCCAAACCTGAAAATACCCAACAACTAAGAGCTTTTTTGGGCTTAATAAATTACTATGCAAAGTTCATAGGAAATCTGTCTGGTAAACTATCACCACTGTACAAGCTGCTACAGAAAAATGCAACTTGGCACTGGGGTAAACAACAAGATACTGCTTTTAATACAGCAAAAGAGGCTTTGTCTGCTGACACCTTACTAACTCACTATGACCCAGGGAAAAGACTTATATTAACATGTGATGCTTCACCAGATGGTGTAGGAGCAGTCTTGTCCCACATGGA